CCCAATCAATCAATCAATCCCTCATTCCCACGCGTGCCGTGGCAGCACCGGCGGGGAGCTGTGCCGGGCTCTGGCCACATTCCATCCCCAATCAATCCATCCCTCATTCCCACGCGTGCCGTGGCAGCACCGGCGGGAGCTGTGCCGGGCTCTGGCGCGGAACGCGCGGCGGGTGCAGGAGGTGCTGGGCGGGACCCCGGGATGCGCTGCCCGCCCCTGGCCGGGGGCCCGCGCCTTCCCCGCATCCACATCCCCCGCGCCCGGAGCTGCGCCACGGTCAGAGCGGGACACGGGGACAGCGGGGGATGGGGGCTGGGGGCACTGGGGGACTGGGGGAGTGGGGGCACTGGGGACAATGGAGGGCTGGGGACACTGGGGATGCTGGGGCACTGGGAAACGGGACACTGGGGGGCACTGGGGGGCTGGGGACACTGGGGGCTGGGGACAATGGGGACACTGGGGGACTGGGGGAGTGGGGACAACAGGGGCTGGGGGCACTGGGGGAGTGGGGACACTGGGGGACTGGGGACACTGGGGGATGGGGACACTGGGGACACTGGGGGCACTGGGGGCAGTGGGGACACTGGGGGACTGGGGACACTGGGGGATGGGGACACTGGAGGACACTGGGGGCACTGGGGCAGTGGGAGGACACTGGGGGACTGGGGGAGTGGGGGCACTGGGGACACTGGGGACACTGGGGACACTGGGGGCTGGGGACACTGGGGGCTGGGGGCACTGGGGGATGGAGGCACTGGGGGATGGGGACACTGGGGGCTGGGGGATGGATGGACAGTGGGGGACAGTCTGGGGAGGACTCGGGGGGAGAGAGGGAGGGGGACACGGCTCTGTGGGAGGGGGACTGGGGACACGGGGGGACTGGGAATAGGGGGGCATGGGACACTCTGGGACATGGGGGATCCTGGGACATGGGGGATCCTGGGATATGGGACATCCTGGGATATGGGGGATCCTGGGATATGGGGGATCCTGGGATATGGGACATCCTGGTGTTATGGGGGGTCTTGGGGACTCAGGATATCCCGGGGCCATGGGAAGGGGCACCCTGGGGACAGGGGACACCCTGGGGACAGGGTCCCCGCCTCGGGGCCCCCTCCTCCCAAATCCCCCTTCCCCTCCCTGTCCCAGCCGTTCTGTCCCCCCCAGTCTCCCCCCTGTCCCCTCCAGTCCTGGCTGTCTCCCCATGTCCCCTGTGCCCGGTCCCAACTGTCCCCTGTCCCTCTGCGTATCCCTGTCCCTGTCGCCACGCGTGTCCCCAGGCGTTGTCCCTGTCCCCACGTCCCTGTCCCCATGTCCCTGTCCCTGTCCCTGTGTCCCTGTCCCTGTCCCCATGTCCCTGTGCTCACGTTCCTGTCCCTGTCGCCACGCGTGTCCCCAGGCGTTGTCCCTGTCCCCATGTCCCTGTCCCCTGTCCCTGTCCCCACGTTCCTGTCCCTGTCCCTGTGCCCACGTCCCTGTCCCTGTCCCCACGCGTGTCCCCAGGCGCTGTCGCTGTGTCCCTGTCCCTGTCCCCACGCGTGTCCCCAGGCGCTGTTCCTGTCTCTGTCCCCACGTCCCTGTCCCCACGTCCCTGTCCCTGTCCCCACGCGTGTCCCTGTCCCTGTGCCCATGTCCCTGTCCCTGTCCCCACGTCCCTGTCCCTGTCCCCACGCGTGTCGCTGTCCCTGTCCCCACGCGTGTCCCCAGACGCTGTCCCTGTCCCCACGCGTGTCGCTGTCCCTGTCCCTGTGCCCATGTCCCTGTCCCCACGCGTGTCCCTGTCCCTGTCCCCATGTCCGTGTCCCCACGCGTGTCCCTGTCCGTGTCCCCACGCGTGTCCCCATGTCCGTGTCCCCACGCGTGTCCCCAGGCGCTGTCGCTGCAGCCCGACCGTTTCTTCTGCCGGCGGCTGGAGGAGCTCACGGGGCTGGCGGTGACCCCGGGGAGCCACTTCGGGCACGGGGGGGGCTCCCACCTGGGGTACGGGGGGACCCCCTGGGGCACCCAAAATGGGGGGGTTTGGGGTCCCGTTGGGGTGTCGGGGTGGGATTTTGGAGTTGCTGTGGTGGGATTTTTGGGGTCCTGTTGGCGTGGGGGTGTTGGGTGTCAAGGGGTGGGATTTTGGGTTTAGGGGGGGGATTTGAGGGTCTTCTTAGGGTGTTGGGATCCTGGGTTTCCTCTTGGGGTGGGGGGCGTTGGGATTTTGGGGTCCCATCAGGGTGGGGGTGTTGGGTGTCAAGGGCTGGGATTTTTGGGGTCCTGTTGGGGTGTTGGGGGTGTGAATTTGGGGTCCCATCGGGGTGGGTGTGTTGGGTGTTAAGGGGTGGGATTTTGGGGTCTTCTTAGGGTGTTGGGATCCTGGGGTTCCTCTTGGGGTGGGGGGCGTTGGGATTTTGGGGTTGTTGTGGTGGGATTTTGGGAGTCCTGTTGGGGTGTTTGGGGTGGGATTTTTGAGGTCCCATCGCAGTGGGAGTGTTGGGTGTCAAGGGGTGGGATTTTTGGGGGTTGTTGTGGTGGGATTTTTGGGGTCCTGTTGGGGTGTTGGGGATGGGATTTTGGGGTCCCATGGGGGTGGGGGTGTTGGGTGTTGAGGAGTGGGATTTTGGGGTTGGGATTTTGGGTGTTGGGGTTGGATGTTGGGATCCTGGAGTTCCTCTTGGGGTGGAGGGTGTTGGGATTTTGGGGTCCCATCGGGGTGGGGGTGTTGGGTGTCAAGGGGTGGGATTTTTGGGGTCCTGTTGGGAGTGTTTGGGGTGGGATTTTGGGGTTGTTGTGGTGGGATTTTGGGGTCCTCTTGGGGTGTTGGGGTGGGAATTTGAGTCCCATCCGGGTGGGGTGTTGGGGTGTCAAGGGCTGGGATTTTTGGGGTCCTGTTGGGGTGTTTGGGGTGGGATTTTGGGGTTGTTGTGGTGGGATTTTGGGGTCCTGTTGGGGTGTTGGGGGTGGGATTTTGGGGTCCCATCGGGGTGGGGGTGTTGGGTGTCAAGGGGTGGGATTTTGGGGTCCCATCGGAGTGGGGGTTTTGGGTGTTAAGGGCTGGGATTTTGGGAGTTGTGGGTGGGATTTTGGGGTTGTTGTGGTGGGATTCTTGGGGTCCCATCGGGTGGGGGTGTTGGGTGTCAGGGGTGGGATTTTGGGTTCCTGTGGGGTGTTGGGGTGGGATTTTGGGTCCCGTTGGGCTGTTGGGTCCTGGGATCCGTTGCACCGAATCTGGGGCTCTGGGTGGTCTCCCCTACTCGGGGGCGTGGGGGTGGGCTCAGATTTGGGGGTCCCATTGCCCAGCAGAGCCATCCCACGGCCGGGGGGTGGTTTGGGGGCATCTCGAGTGGGTCCCCCGGGGTGGGGTTGTGTTAGGGTTAGGGTGTGTTTAGGGGGGGGTTCAGAGTGACCCCCATGCCCCCCCCCGGTGCCCCCCAGGCTGTCGCTGCTGCTGCCGCCGGAGAGGCTGGAGCGGGTCCTGCAGCTCCTCGTGCGCTTCCACGCCCAATTCCTGCGGGAATTCTCCTGAGGGAGGCTGGAATTTCCTGAGGGAGGCGGGAATCCTGAGAGATCCGGATCCCGCAGCTCCTCCCCACGCGGGAATTCTCCCGCGGGATCCGCGCCGGGAGCGCCCCCGGGAGCAGGCAGGGATGGGCAGGGACCATGGGCGGGTCTGGCATTCCCGGCATTCCCGGGATTTTCGGATGGATCAGCCAGGGGAGGCTCCGCCCTGGATTTGGGAGCCTCTCCCGGTGGAATTCCCGGTGGATCTTCCTTCAGGATCCACCATTCCCAACCCAATCCCGGTTCCTGTGCTGTGACTTGGATGTGTTGGGGGGGGAGGGGTGGGGAGAATCCAGGAGGGAATCCAGGGATGGATTCCTGGGATTCAACAATGGATTCCTGGGACCGAGGGTTGGATTTGTGGGATCCAGGGATGGGATCCAGGGATGGATTCCTGGGATGCAGGGATGGGATCCAGGGATGGATTCCTGGGATCCAGGGATGGATTGTGGGATCCAGGGTTTGGATTAATGGGATCCAGGGATGGGCTGTGGGATCCAGGGATGGATTGTGGGATCCAGGGATGGATTGTGAAATCCAGGGTTGGATTTGTGGGATCCAGGGATGGATTCCTGGGATCCAGGATGGGATGCAGGGTTGGATTCCTGGGATGCAGGATGGGATGCAGGGCTGGATTCCTGGGATGCAGGGCTGGATTCCTGGGATCCAGGATGGGATCCAGGATGGGATGCAGGGTTGGATTCCTGGGATGCAGGGCTGGATTCCTGGGATCCAGGGATGGATTCCCGGGATGCAGGATGGGATCCAGGATGGGATGCAGGGTTGGATTCCTGGGATGCAGGGCTGGATTCCTGGGATCCAGGATGGGATCCAGGATGGGATGCAGGGTTGGACTATGGGATGACGGGCTGGATTCCTGGGATCCAGGATGGATTCCTGGGATGCAGGGTTGGATTCCTGGGATGCAGGGCTGGATTCCTGGGATCCAGGATGGGATCCAGGATGGGATCCAGGATGGGATCCAGGATGGGATCCAGGATGGGATGCAGGGTTGGATTCCTGGGATGCAGGGCTGGATTCCTGGGATGCAGGATGGGATCCAGGATGGGATGCAGGGCTGGATTCCTGGGATCCAGGATGGGATCCAGGATGGGATGCAGGGTCGTGGCACCCGTGGCCACCCAGGGAATCTCCTCCATGGATCTGGGAGCCCTGGAGCCTCTCCCAGGGGAATTCCAGTGGATCCCCAGCACCAGGTCCGTGTCCCACCATGGCTCTGCCTCGGGAAGGCTCTGGGAGCAGCATCCCCAATTCCAGGGAGGATTTGGCAGGAAAACCAACTGCCCTGAGGGTTCATCCTGCTGGGAATTCCTGTGGGAAGGGCTGGGGGTCCCCTCTGCTCCTTCCTGGGGCCAAAACACCCCCACTCCCATTCCCAGCGTGTCCTTTTATTATCCAGGGATAAAATTCCCATAAAAGGCCCCGGAGGGGGCTCCGTGGGGTGTCCCTCCCATTCCCAGGGGACATTCCCAGGGGACATTCCCAGGGGACATTCCCAGGGGACATTCCATGAATCTCACATGGTAGCCAGGAGCTCCTGGGTGGCCAGGCGGGCCAGGCCGTGGAAATCCAGCCGGAGATGCTTCCTCCAAAATCGCCGATCCCGCCCATACAGCTGGGCTGGGAAACGGGGGCTGCCTGGGGGGGCAGGAGGAGGAGCCCAAATAGCCCAGATATCCCAGCCCAGATAGCCCAGATATCCCAGCCCATCCCAGATATCCCATCCCATCCCATCCCAGATATCCCATCCCATCCCATCCCATCCCATCCCAGATATTCCATCCCATCCCATCCCATCCCATCCTATCCCAGATATCCCAGCACAGATATCCTATCCTATCCTATCCTATCCTATCCTATCCTATCCTATCCTATCCTATCCCAAATATCCATCCATCTCCATCTCCATCCATCCATCCCATCCCTGTATCCCATCCCATCCCATCCCTGTATCCCATCCCATCCCATCCCATCCCAGATATCCCATCCCATCCCATCCATCCCATCCCATCCCATCCCGTCTCATCCCATCCCATCCCATCCATCCATCCCAGATATCCCATCCATCCCATCCATCCCATCCCATCCCATCCCATCCCATCCATCCCATCCTATCTCCATCCCATCTCATCCCATCCCATCCCATCAATTCCATCCCATCCCATCCCATCCTATCCTATCCCATCCCATCCCATCCCATCCCATCCCATCCCATCTCCATCCATCCCATCTCCATCCATCCCATCCCTATCATCCCATCCATCCCAAATCATCCCATCCATCCCATCCCAGATATCCATCCCATCCCAGCGCTGGAATTAGCGTGCCTGGGGATACGGGGAAGATCCGATATCCCTCCTATCCCAGATATCCCATCCCAGATATCCCATCCCATCCCATCAATCCCATCCCATCAATCCCATCCCATCAATCCCATCCCATCCATCCCATCCCATCCCATCCCATCCCATCCCATCCCATCCCATCCCATCCCAGCTGGGAATCAGGGGCTGCCTGGGGGGATACACAGGGGGAGGATCCCAGATAATCCCTCCTATCCCAGATATCCCAGCACAGATATCCCATCCTATCCTATCCCAGATATCCCATCCCAGATATCCCATCCCATCCCAACCCAACCCATCCCATCCTAGATATCCCATCCCATCCCATCCCAGATATCCCATCCCATCCCATCCCAGAGCTGGGAATCAGGGGCTGCCTGGGGGGATACACAGGGGGAGGATCCCAGATAATCCCTCCTATCCCAGATATCCCATCCTATCCTATCCCAGATATCCCATCCCAGATATCCCATCCCATCCCAACCCAACCCATCCCATCCTAGATATCCCATCCCATCCCATCCCAGATATCCCATCCCATCCCATCCCAGAGCTGGGAATCAGGGGCTGCCTGGGGGGATACACAGGGGGAAGATCCCAGATATCCCATCCTATCCCAGATATCCCCTCCCAGATATCCCATCCCAGATATCCCATCCTATCCTATCCTATCCCAGATATCCCATCACAGATATCCCATCCCAGCCCATCCCAAATATTCCATCCCAGATATCCCATCCCACCCCAGAGCTGAGCTGGGAAACGGGGTCTGCCTATGGGGACAGGAGGAAAGATCCCAGAAACCCCAGCCTAGATATCCCATCCTATCCCAGATATCCCATCCCAGATATCCCATCCCATCCCAGAGCTGGGAATCAGGGGCTGCCTGGGGGGATACACAGGGGGAGGATCTCAGATAATCCCTCCTATCCCAGATATCCCAGCACAGATATCCCATCCTATCCTATCCTATCCTATCCTATCCTATCCTATCCTATCCTATCCTATCCTATCCTATCCTATCCCAGATATCCCATCCCATCCCTCCCATCCCATCCCAGATCATCCCATCCCTCCCATCCCATCCCAGATATCCCAGCACAGATATCCCATCCCATCCCATCCCATCCCATCCCACCCCATCCCATCCCATCCCATCCCAGATATCCCATCCCATCCCATCCCATCCCATCCCATCCCATCCCATCCCATCCCATCCCATCCCACCTCATCCATCCCATCCCAGATATCCCATCCCATCCCATCCCTACTCATCCCATCCCATCCCATCCCAGATATCCCATCCCATCCCATCTCATCCATCCCATCTCATCTCCATCCCATCCCATCCCATCCCATCCTATCCCATCCCAGATATCTCCATCCCATCCCATCCCACCCCATCCCATCCCATCCCATCCCATCCCATCCTATCCCATCCCATCCCATCCATCCCATCCCATCCCATCCCATCCCATCCCATCCCAGATATCCCATCCCATCCCATCCCTCCCATCCCATCCTCACTGATTCCATGGAATATCCTGGCGATGGCTGTCCCGGAGAATTTCTCGTCGGGGCGGATGGACAGGAAGTGTCGGATGTCGGAGCGGACCTGGCCCTCCCAGTCCTGCAGCTGCCCAGGACAGGGATCAGCCCTGCTCATCCCAGATCCAGTGGGGCTCACATCCCAAATCCAATGGAGCTCACATCCCAGATCCAATGGAGCTCACACCCCTCCTCATCCCAAATCCATTGGAGCTCACATCCCTCCTCATCCCAAATCCAGGGGGAACTCAAATCCCTGCTCTTCCTCATCCCAAATCCAATGGAGCTCACATCCCAGATCCAATGGAGCTCACATCCCTCCTCATCCCAAATCCATGGGGAATTCACATCCCTCCTCATCCCAAATCCATGGGGAATTCACATCCCTCCTCATCCCAAATCCAATGGAGCTCACATCCGAAACCCATGGGGAACTCACATCCCTTCTCATCCCAAATCCATGGGGAGCTCTAATCCCTTCTCCTCCTCATCCCAAATCCAATGGAGTTCACATCCCTCCTCATCCCAAATCCTTGGAGCTCACATCCCTCCTCATCCCAAATCCAATGGAGCTCTCATCCCTGCTCCTCCTCATCCCAAATCCAATGGAGCTCACATCCCTCCTCCTCCTCATCCCAAATCCAATGGAGCTCACATCCCTCCTCATCCCAAATCCAATGGAGCTCACATCCCTCCTCATCCCAAATCCATGGGGAACTCAAATCCCTGCTCTTCCTCATCCCAAATCCAATGGAGCTCACACCCTTGCTCATCCCAAATCCAATGGAGCTCACATCCCAAATCCATTGTAGCTCACATCCCTGCTCATCCCAAATCCATTGGAGCTCACATCCCTGCTCATCCCAAATCCATTGGAGCTCACATCCCAAATCCATTGTAGTTCACATCCCTGCCCTCCCTCCTCCCCAACGCTGCCCCTTGGCCAAGGCCGGAATTCCGGAGGCTCCGGAGCCGCTGCTTTACCCGAGTGCTTCCAAGCTCCTCCTGCTCCTCCTGCTGCTCCTCCTGCTGCTCCTCCTGCTGCCCTTCCGCTCCGTGGGGATCCCTCTCGAAGTATTCCCGGATCAGATCCTTGAGTTGGGCGCTCCTCTCCTCCACCTCCCGGTCCGGAGGGTGCGGATGGCTCGTCGGGAATGCCACGCTGCTCCCGACCCATCGTCAGCTCCCGCCCTTTCCCAGGGAGGCGGGAGCAGGGCGGGAATCCTGGGGAATGGGGGGTGGGGGGGGTTGGTTTTCCTCACCTCTGGAATGCCCGGAAGCAGGCCTGGAGCTGGCTCAGGGCCGCCTTTTCCCGGGATCGCACGCGCCGGAGCAGGAAGTGGCAGATGGAATCCAGCTCCGCCCCGCTCAGGTCGCCGTAGGAGCGGAAGTGGAAGGAAAGCTCCTGGAATTCCACCTGGATCCCACTTTTCCCTGGGAGAGCAGGGAGAGCTGGGACTCCAGAGGGGATGCCACCAGCCCCTCCAGCCCAATCCCAATCCCAGTCCCAATCCCAATATAAATCCCAATCCCAACCACAATCCCAATATCAATCCCAATCTCAATGCCAAACCCCAATCCCAACCCCAATCCCAAACCCAATCCTAACCCCAATCCTGAATCCCAATCCCAATCACCAATCCTAAATCCTAATCACCAATCCCAATCCCAAATCCCAACCCCAAATCCAATCCCAATCCTAATCCGAAATCCGAATCCCATTCCCAATCTCAATCCCAATACCCAATCCCAACCCCAATCTCAATCTCAATCCCAAATCCCAATCCCAAATCCCATTTTCCATCCCAATCCCAGTCCAACTCTCAATCCCAAATCCCAATCCCAACTCCCAAGCCACAATCCCAACCACAGTCCTAATCTCAAACCCCAATCCCAATCCAAATCCAAAATCTCAATCCACAATCCCAATCCCCAACCCCACCCCAAACACAATCTCAATCCCAAATCCGAATCTCAATCTAATCCCAAATCCCAATCCCAACCCCAATCCAAAACCCAACCCCAATGTCAATCTAAATCCCAATCTCACACTCAATCCCAATCCCAAATCCCAACCACAATCCCAATCCCAATCTCATTCCCAATCCCAATCCCAATCCCAGTCAGAATCTCAATGCCAAATCCTAATCTACAACCCCAATCCCAATCCCAACCGCAATCCCAACTCAGCCCAAATCCCAATCTCTACACCCAATCCCTATCCCAATCCCAATCCCATTCCCAACTCCAACCCCAATCCCGATGCCGATGGGTACCGGTCCTTTGCCGGGGGTCCCACTGGAGCTGCCGGAGGTGCCGCTTCACCAGCGCCGCTTCCCAGCCCATGGAATCGCTCAGCTCCACCACGTCCAACTCCACGGCTCCGGAATTCCGGTGCTCCCGCCCCGCCAGCCGCTCCCGCGCCAGGAAAACACCCACGGGGGGGAAACAGAAAATCCGCTGATTTGGGTCTAAACTCATTGGAGGGGAATCCATTTTTAAATCAGGCAAGCAGATCCTCGTTTCTGCAAAATCATTTTTAGGGTCTAAAGGCTCATTTTTCATTTTCAAGGCCAAAATCTGCATTATTTTCTGATGAGTCAAAATCTGCATTTTTGTGGTCAAAAAGGTCATTTTTAAGGGGAAATTCCTCATTTTCATGGGCCAAAATCTGCATCTTTATGGTCAAAATTGTCATTTCTGAGGAGAAATCCCTCATTTTTCTGGTATAAAATCTGCATTTTTATGGTCTAAAAGGCTCATTTTTGAGGCGAAATCCCTCATTTTCAAGGCCAAAATCTGCATTTTTAGGGTCTAAAGGTTCATTTATGAGGAGAAATCCCTCATTTTGAAAGTCAAAATCTGCATTTTTAGTGTCCAATGTCCATTTTTTAGGGCAGAAAATCGCATTTTTAGGGTCTAAAATTTCATTTTTGAGGCAAAATCCCTCCTTTTCTGAGCCCCAATCCTCATTTTTAGGGTCAAACGCCTGGGTTTCTAGGGTCATCGCACATCTGAAGTGGCAAATTTTTAGAGTCAAATATCTCAGTTTTGAGAGCCAAATTCCCTCAGTTTTAGGGTCCAATTCAAATTTTCAGGAGTCAATTCCTCAGATTTGCAGAGTCAAATTTCCTGGCTCAAATCCCTCAATTTTAGAGGCAATTCCCACATTTTGAGAGTCAATTCCCACATTTTCAGGGTTCAAATTTCCTGGGCTCAAATCCCTAATTTCGAGGGTCAATTCCTACATTTTGAGGCTCCATTCCCACAATTTTAGGAGTCAATTCCCAGATTTAAGAGTCAATTCCCCCATTTTCAGGGTGAAATTTTGGGAGTCAATTCCCAGATTTGAGAGTCAATTCCCCACAATTGTAGGAGTCAAATTTTGAGAGTCAATTCCCAGATTTTCAGGGTCAGTTCCTACATTTTGAGGCTCCATTCCCCCATTTTCAGGGTGAAATTTTGGGAGTCAATTCCCAGATTTTTCAGGGTCAAATCCTCCTTTTCAGGACAACTGAGAGGAGGGGGAAAACAACCAAATCCCGCTGGATTCGGGATGGGGACGATGCGGGAATGCCGGAGCGGGAATTCCGAGGGTCCCACCTGCGCGCCAGGTCCCGGAGCTGGCGGGGCCCTCCGGAGCAGCGGATGCGGCAGCGGGAATAGGTGGGAAGCAGCAGCTCCAACCAGCGCTGCGGGTGCAGCTCCAGGTAGCACAGCAGGGTCTCGATCCCTGCAGGGAAGAGGAGAATTCCCAGTGGGAATTTTCCCCCCCTTTGGGAATGACATCCCGGGAGATTCCCGATTTTTGCAGCCCCCCTCACCTTCCTCGCGCACGTCCAGGGATTCCACGGAGCGCTGGATGGGCAGGCAGCGCTCGTGGCCGTGGCAGACGCGGTCCAGGGGTCTCGTCCCGGGGTTTTCCGGTTTTTCCTCGGCCTCCTCTTCCAGAAGTTCCGCCATTTCGGAGTCTTCCACCTCCTCCCTGACCTGTGGGATCGGAACATTCCAGCTGGGAATGTCCCTGGGAATGTCCCTGCCCGAGGCTCGGCCACCTCTTTAGGGGCTGAACCCACCCTGGGGAGGAGAAATCCCTCATTTTCTGGGCCTAAATCTGCATTTTTGTGGTCAAAAAGCTCATTTTGGAGGAGAAATCCCTCATTTTTAAAGTCAAATCTGCATTTTTGTGGTCAAAAAGCTCCTTTTGGAGGAGAAATCCCTCATTTTCAAGGCCAAAATCTGCATTTTTGTGGTAAAATCTGCATCTTTGTGTTCAAAAGCTCCTTTTGGAGGAGAAATCCTCATTTTCGAAAATCTGCATTTTTGTGGTCAAAAAGCTCCTTTTGGAGGAGAAATCCCTCATTTTCTGGGCCTAAATCTGCATTTTTGTGGTCAAAAAGCTCCTTTTGGAGGAGAAATCCCTCATTTTCAAGGCCAAAATCTGCATTTTTGTGGTCAAAAAGTTCATTTTTGAGGAGAAATCCCTCATTTTTAAAGTCAAAATCTGCATTTTTGTGGTCAAAAAGCTCCTTTTGGAGGAGAAATCCCTCATTTTCAAGGCCAAAATCTGCATTTTTATGGTCTAAATGTTCATTTTCAAGGTAAAACGCCTCATTTTCAAGGCCAAAACCTGCATTTTTGTGGTGAAAAAGTTCATTTTTGAGGCAAAAATCCCTAATTTTTCAGGGCCAAAATCTGCATTTTTATGGCCAAAATTGTAATTTTTGAGCAGAAATCCCTCACTTTTCTGGTATAAAATCTACATATTTATGGTCTAAAAGGCTCATTTTTGAGGTAAAATCCCTCATTTTCAAGGCCAAAATCTGCATTTTTGTGGTCAAAAGCTCATTTTTGAGGAGAAATCCCTCATTTTCTGGGCCAAACCCCACATTTTTATGGTCTAAAAGTCTCATTTGTGAAGCAAAATCCCTCATTCTTAAAGTTAAAATCTGCATTTTTAGGGTCCAATGTCCATTATTGGTGGCAGAAAATCACGTTTTTAGGGTCTAAAATTTCATTTTTGAGGCAAAATCCCTCCTTTTCTGAGCACAAATCCCCATTTTTAGGGTCAAATGCCTGGGTTTTAGAGAAAAAGTCGCATTTTTAGGGCAAATTATCTCAGTTTTGAGGTCAAATCCTTTGGTTTTAGGCTCCGAATTCCATCATTTTCAGGGTCAATTCCCTCAATTTGAGAGTCAAATTTCCTGGCTCAAATCCCTCATTTTTCAAGGTTAATTCCCACATTTTCAGGGTCAAATTTTGAGAGTCAATTCCCAGACTTTCGGGGCCAAATCCTTCCTTTTCAGGCTTAAATTTTCAGAGTCAAATCCCACATTTTGAGAGTGAATTCCTACATTTTCTGGGTCAAATTTTGGGAGTCAATTCCCCCAATTTCAGAGTCAAATCCCAGATTACGAGAATCATTTCCCCAATTTTGAGCCTCAACCTCCCCCATTTTCCAGTCAAATCCCACATTTTGAGAGTCAATTCCCCCGTTTTGAGCCCCAACCCCCCCATTTTTCAGTCAAATCCCCCATTTTCAGAGTCAATCTCCACATTTTGAGCCTCAACCTCCCCCATTTTCCAGTCAAATCCCACATTTTCAGAGTCAATCTCCACATTTTGATCCTCAACCCCCCCATTTTCCAGTCAAATCCCCCATTTCGAGAGTCAATTCCTCCAATTTCAGAGTCAAATCCCACATTTCAAGAGTCAACTCCCCTATTTTGAGCCTCAACCCCCATTTTCCAGTCAAATCCCACATTTCGAGAGTCAATTCCCCCAATTTCAGGGTCAAATCCCCCATTTCGAGAGTCAATTCCCCTCGTTTTGAGCCTCAACCCCCCCATTTTTCAGTCAAATCCCCCATTTTCAGAGTCAATCTCCACATTTGAGCCTCAACCCCCCCCTTTTTCAGTCCAAATCCCACATTTTCAGAGTCAATCTCCACATTTGGAGCCTCAACCCCCCCCATTTTCCAGCCAAATCCTCCATTTCGAGAGTCAATTCCTCCAATTTCAGAGTAAAGTCCCACATTTCAAGAGTCAACTCCCCTATTTTGAGCCTCAACCCCCCCATTTTCCAGTCAAATCCCCCATTTCGAGAGTCAATTCCTCCAATTTCAGAGTCAAATCCCACATTTCGAGAGTCAATTCCCCCGTTTTGAGCCTCAACCCCCCCATTTTTCAGTCAAATCCCCCATTTTGATCCATCCACCCCTCTCTCCTCTCCTCACCTGGGCATCCCCCCTCTCCTTCCCGTAGATCTGCCGGCACTTGCAGGGAGCGAAAACCTCCAGCACCAACCGCTTGATGGCCCAAAATTCCACCGTGTCGCCGTAGATGTGACGCCGCAGCTCGGGGAGATCCCCACCCTGTGACAAAACCACACGGATTTACAGCAGAAAAGCGGGAAAAACCCCTAAAACCCCGTGGGGGGCAGCGTTACCTCCGGGTCCAGGAAGAGGTGGCAGAGGGCGGGTCGGCCATCGCGGCCGGCGCGGCCGATCTCCTGCACGTAGCTCTCCAGGTCCTTGGGCAGGTTGTAGTGGATGACGGCGCGCACGTCGCGCTTGTCCAGCCCCATCCCGAAGGCCACCGTGGCCACCACCACCCGCAGCCGCCCCCTCATGAAGAGGCGCTGGACGCGCCGGCGCTCCCCGCACGATAACCCGGCGTGGTAGGCGGCGGCCGCGCTGAGGGGAGGCGGGGGGCAGCCTGAGGGGAGAAAAAAGGCGGGAAAATGGGTTGGGTGAGGGGTTGGAGATCGAAAAGGGGAGCCCCGAAACATGAGGGAGGTCACTCTCAAAGCATGAGGGAGTTCACTCTCAGAATGGGAAACGGACACTCAAAATGAGGGATTGGACTGTGAAAATGGGATCCCAAAATATGAGGGAGTTCACTCTCAGAATGGGGAAACGGACACTCAGAATGAGAGACTGGACTGTGAAAATGGGATCCCAAAACATGAGGGAGTTCACTCTCAAAGCATGAGGGAGTTCACTCTCAGAATGGGGAAATGGAGGTTCAAAATGAGGGATTGGAGTTTGAAAATGGGACCCCAAAACATGAAGGAGTTCACTCTCAGAATGGGGAAATGGACGCTCAAAATGAGGGATTGGAGCCTGAAAATGGGATCCCCAAAACATGAGGGAGGTGACTCTCAAAATGGGGAAATGGACACTCAAAATGAGAGATTGGACTGTGAAAATCGGACCCCAAAACATGAGGGAGTTCACTCTCAAAACATGAGGGAGTTCACTCTCAAAACATGAGGAAGTTCACTCTCAAAGCATGAGGGAGTTCACTCTCAAAATAGGGAGATGGATGCTCAAAATGGGGAAATGGACTCTCAGAATGAGGGATTGGACTTTGAAAATGGGACCCCAAAACATGAGGGAGTTCACTCTCAAAACATGAGGGAGTTCACTCTCGAAGCCTGGGAATTGGCACTCAAAATGAGGGATTGGAGCCTGAAAATGGGACCCTCAAAACATGAGGGAGTTCACTCTCAAAGTCTGGGAATTGGCACTCAAAATGAGGGATTGGAGCTTGAAAACGGGACCCCAAAACATGAGGGAGTTCACTCTCAAAACATGAGGGAGTTCACTCTCGAAGTCTGGGAATTGGCATTCAAAATGAGGGATTGGAGCCTGAAAATGGGATCCCCAAAACATGAGGGAGTTCTTTTTCAAAACATCAGGGAGTTCACTCTCAAAATGGGGAAATGGATGCTCGAAATGGGGAAATGGAGGCTCAAAATGAGGGATTTGAGTCTGAAAATGGGACCCCAAAACATGAGGGAGTTCACTCTCGAAGTCTGGGAATTGGCACTCAAAATGAGGGATTTGAGCCTGAAAATGGGATCCCCAAAACATGAGGGAGTTCACTCTCAAAACATGAGGGAGTTCACTCTCAAAGTCTGGGAACTGACACTCAAAATGTGGGATTTAACCCCAAAAATGAGGGAATTGGCTCTCAGAAATGTGGGAATTGACACTCAAAGTGAGGGATTTGACCCCGAAATATGTGGGAATTGAGTCTCAAAATGTGGGATTTGACTCTCAAAATGAGGGATTTGACCCTGAAAATGAGGGAATTGAACCTCAAAATGAGGGAGCTGACCCCAAAAATGTGGGAGTTGACTCTCAAAATCTGGGAACTGACTCCCAAAATTTGACCCTGAAAAAAATGTGGGACTCGACTCTCAACATTTGACCGACCCTGAAAAAAATGTGGGACTCGACTCTCAACATTTGACCCTGAAAAATGTGGGAATTGACTCTCAAAATGAGGGATTTGACTCCCAGAATCTGACCCTTAAAAGGTGGGAATTGACTCTCAAAATTTGACCCTGAAAAGGTGGGAACTGAATCACAAAATCTGGCAACTGACTCTCAAAATGAGGGATTTGACTCTGAAAATGCGGGATTTGACTCCCAAAATTTGACCCTGAAAACGTGGGAATCGACCCCAAAAAAGAGGAATTTGACACAGAAATTTTGACTCTCAAATTGAGGGAATTGACTCTCAAAATTTGACTCTGAAAATGTGGGAATTGACTCTCAAAGGGAGAGATTTGACTCTCAAATGTAGGAACTGAAGTCAAGGGTGGAGAACTTGGGTTGGGATGATGTTCCCAAGGAATGGTTCAGATCCGCTCGGTTGGGAAAGTGGGATGGGAACCCCTTTGTGGGGCAATTCCCTCATTTTGGGAGTCAAATCCCACATTTTCAGGGTCAAGTCCCTCATTTTGAGAGTAAAATTTTAAGGGTCAATTCCCTCATTTCCAGGCTCAAATCCCTCATTTCCAGACTCAATTCCTTCATTTCCCATCTCAAATCCCTCATTTCCCAGCACAATCCCGCTCCAAGCCACTCCCAAGGGCCGAGCTGAGCCATTCCCACATGGAATGCCCTCCCAGGACACCCCATTCTCCTTCCCCACCCTTTCCCAGCTTTTCCCTACCTTTCCCTCTGGTCCCCGGGGTGGTTGTGGCACATTCCGGGCCGGGAATTCCCTGGAGTCGGGTTCGGATGAGGGCGGCCACGCGCTCCGTCTCCTCGCGCCGCGTGCAGTAGACGATGATGGAATCCAGGGCTCCGAAACGCTCCCCCCGGAGCAGGGAAACCAAGGCCTGCGGGACCACAATGGTGCCAAAATTCCACAAAAAAAGATGGAAACACGATGGAAATCCCCCTTAAATCCCGGGGTCCCCCCATCCCGACCTCGTCGCGGTCGCGCTCCATGGACACCGAGAGGAGCAGGTTGGGCGGCACCGCGGCCGAGCGCGCCGGAGCCTCTTCCCCGGCGGGGATCCCCAAGTGCCGCGCCACGTCCCGAGCCGTGGCCGGCGTGGCCGTGGCCGTCAGGCCCAGGAAGCAGCGGATGCCCAGGCGGTCCCGCAGAACCTGCCGGAGAAATCCAGGGGGAAAAATTCCAGGGGAGAAAAAAAAACGATCAGGAGTGTGGTGGTTGTTCCACATCCCCCCACAGGGGTTGTCCCACAGGGATTGTCCCCCATCCCCACAGTGGTTGTCCCCCATCCCTGTGAGTTGTCCCCCATCCCCAGTGAGTTGTCCCCCATCCCCACAGTGATTGTCCCCCATCCCCACAGTGGTTGTCCCCCATCCCCTGTGGGTTGTCCCCCATCCCTGTGTGGGTTGTCCCCCATCCCCTGTGGGTTGTCCCCCATCCCTGTGGGTTGTCCCCCATCCCTGTGGGTTGGCCCCCACCCCTTGTGGGTTGTCCCCCATCCCTGTGTGGGTTGTCCTCCACTCCCGGTGGGTTGTCCCCCATCCTCACAGCGATTGTCCCCCATCCCTGTGAGTTGTCCCCCATCCCTCTGTGGGTTGTCCCCCATCCCTGTGGGCTGTCCCCATCCCCTGTGGGGTTTGTCCCCATCCCCTGTGGGGTTTGTCCCCCACCCCCGTGGGTTGTCCCCACCCCCCGTGGGTTGTCCCCCATCCCTGTTGGTTGTCCCCCATCCCTGTGGGTTGTCCAACATTCTCACAGTGAATTGTCCCCCATCCCCTGTGGGGTTTGTCCCCCATCCCTGTGGGTTGTCCCCCATCCCCTCTGTGGGTTGTCCCCCATCCCTTGTGATTTGTCCCCCATCCCTGTGTGGATTGTCCCCCATCCCCTGTGGGGTTTGTCCCCCATCCCTGTGGGTTGTCCCCCATCCCTGTGGATTGTCCCCCATCCCTTGTGATTTGTCCCCCATCCCTGTGTGGATTGTCCCCCATCCCTGTGGATTGTCCCCCATCCCCTGTGGGTTGTCCCCCATCCCTGTGAGGTTTGTCCCCCATCCCCTGTGGGTTGTCCCCCATCCCTGTGTGGATTGTCCCCATCCCTGTGGGTTGTCCCCCATCCCTGTGTGGATTGTCCCCCATCCCTGTGGGTTGTCCCCATCCCTGTGTGGATTGTCCCCATCCCCGTGGATTGTCCCCCATCCCCTGTGGGTTGTCCCCATCCCTGTGAGGTTTGTCCCCCATCCCCTGTGGGTTGTCCCCATCCCTGTGTGGATTGTCCCCCATCCCCTGTGGGTTGTCCCCTCACCCCACAGTGATTGTCCCCCATCCCTGTGGGTTGTCCAACATTCTCACAGTGGGTTGTCCCCCATCCCTTGTGATTTGTCCCCCATCCCTGTGGGTTGTCCCCCATCCCCCTGTGGATTGTCCCCCATCCCCTGTGGGGTTTGTCCCCCATCCCCTGTGGGGTTTGTCCCCCATCCCCTGTGAGTTGTCCCCCACCCCCGTGGGTTGTCCCCCATCCCTGTGGGTTGTCCCCCATCCCCCTGTGGATTGTCCCCCATCCCTGTGTGGATTGTCCCCCATCCCCGTGTGTTGCCCCCCATCCTCTGTGGGTTGTCCCCCCTCCCCTGTGAGTTGTCCCCCACCCCCCGTGGGTTGCCCCCACCCCCGTGGGTTGTCCCCACCTTGCAGATGCGCAGGTAGGAGGGTCTGAAGTTGTGTGCCCACTGGGACACGCAGTGAGCCTCGTCCAGGCAGGCGAAGGCCACGGGTGGGAGGCGATCCCGGCCCCCAGGAACGCCGAGCCGGAGCCGGTGCCGCCCACCAGGGCCTCGGGAGACACGAGCAGCACCTGCACCTCGCCCGCCCGCACCTGAGGGGACAGCGGCAATTCTGGAGGTGAAATCCCTTGTTTTCCGGGCCCAAATCCACATTTTTAGGGAGAAAAATCAGAATTTTAAGTAGCGTAATCTCATTTTTGGGGCGAAATCCCTAATTTTCCAGGCCAAAGTCACATTTTTGGATTCAAGTCTTAATTTCTCGGGGGGGGGGGGAAAAGTTACATTTTTAGGGTCTAAAGTCACATTTTTGGGGCCAAATTCCTCATTTTCTAGGGCCAAATTCTTTATTTTCTGGGGTCAAAGTCTTCATTTTCTGGGGCCAAATTCCTCATTTTCAAGCCCAAACTTTAATTTTTTTGTGGGAAAATAGAACATTCGTAAGGTCTAAAACCTCATTTTTGAGGTCAAATCCATCATTTTCCGGGCCAAACTCCACGTTTTCAGGCCCAAACCTTAATTTTTCTATGGGAAAACAACATTTTTAGGATCTAAAATCTCATTTTTGAGGCCAAAGCCCTCATTTTCCAGGTCAAAGTCACATTTTTGGATTCAAATCTTAATTTCTCGGCGGGGAAAAAAATCACATTTTTAGGGGCTAAATCCACATTTTGGGGGCCAAATTCCTCATTTTCCAGGGCCAAACCCCACATTTTCTGTGCCAAACTCCACATTTTCATGCCCAAAGCTTAATTTTTTTGTGGGAAAATAGAACATTTGTAAGGTATAAAACCTCATTTCTGAGGTCAAATCCCTCATTTTCCGGGCCAAACTCCACGTTTTCTGGCCCAAACCCTTATTTTTCTGTGGGAAAACAACATTTTTAGGATCTAAAATCTCATTTTTGAGGTCAAATCCCTCATTTCCCAAGCCCAAATCCACCCTTTTAGACTCGAACCTTAATTCTTTGGGGGGAAAAAAGCCACATTTTTCAAGCCTAAAACCTCATTTTTTGAGAGAAATCCTTTTTCAGGGCAAAATGCACATTTTTAGGGTCTAAACTTCAGTATTTGAGGGAAAATCCCTCATCCAAAATCCATATTTTTAGGGTAAAATGCCCATTTTTAGGGAGCAAATCACAATTTGAGGGTGTGAAATCTCATTTTTGAGGCAAAAACCTTCATTTTTCGGGCCCAAAACCCACATTTTCCAGGTCAAAATCCACATTTTCAGGTCCAAACCCTTATTTTTCTGTGGGAAAACAGAACATTTTTAGACTCTAAAATCTCATTTTTCAGACCAAATCCCTCATTTTCCAGGCTTGAATCCACCTTTTAGACTCGAACCTTAATTCTTTGGGGGGAAAAAAGCCACATTTTTCAAGCCTAAAACCTCATTTTTTTGAGAGAAATCCTTTTTCAGGGCAAAATGCACATTTTTAGGGTCTAAACTTCAGTATTTGAGGGAAAATCCCTCATCCAAAATCCATATTTTTAGGGTAAAATGCCCATTTTTAGGGAGCAAATCACAATTTTAGAGTGTGAAATCCCATTTTTGAGGCCAAAGCCCTCATTTTCCAGGCTCAAATCCACCTTTTAGACTCAAACCCTTAATTCCTTGGGGGGAAAAAAGCCACATTTTTCAAGCCTAAAACCTCATGTTTTTGGGAAGAAATCCTTCACTTTCCAGGGCAAAATCCACATTTTTAGGGTCTAAACTTCAGTATTTGAGAAAAAAACCCTCATTACAAATCCATATTTTTAGGGTAAAATGCCCGTTTTTAGGGAGCAAATCAGAATTTCAGGGTGTGAAATGTCATTTTTGAGGCCAAAGCCCTCATTTTCCAGGCTCAAATCCACCTTTTAGACTCGAACCTTAATTCTTTGGGGGTAAAAAAGCCACATTTTTCAAGCCTAAAACCTCATTTTTTTGGGGAGAAATCCTTCCCTTTCCAGGGCAAAATCCACATTTTTAGGGTCTAAACTTCAGTATTTGAGGAAAAACCCCTCATCCCAAATCCATACTTATAGGGCAAAACAGCCATTTTTAAGCAGCAAATCAGAATTTTAGGGTGTGAAATCTCATTTTTGAGGCCAAATCCCTCATTTTCCAGGCTCGAATCCACCTTTTTAGAGTTGAACCTTAATTCTCTGGGGGGAAAAAAGCCACATTTTTCAAGCCTAAAACCTCATTTTTTGGGGAGAAATCCTTCCCTTTCCAGGGCAAAATCCACATTTTTAGGGTCTAAACTTCAGTATTTGAGAAAAAAACCCTCATCCCAAATCCATACTTATAGGGTAAAACAGCCATTTTTAAGCAGCAAATCAGAATTTTAGGGTGTGAAATCTCATTTTTGAGGCCAAATCCATCATTTTCCAGGCTCGAATCCACCTTTTTAGAGTTGAACCTTAATTCTTTAGGGGGAAAAAAAGCCACATTTTTCGAGTCTCAAGTCTCTTCTTTTGTGAGCAATTTTCCAGGACAAAAATGCACATTTTTAGGGTCTAAAAACTTCAGCATCCGAGGAAAAACCCCTCATCCCGAATCCACATTTTCAGGTTAAAACGCCCATTTTTAAGGAGCAAACCCAAATTTTCGGGTCTGAGCTCCCATTCCTGAGCCCCGAACCCTCCTCCCTCATCCTGAGGGGAGGCGATGGCGGCGCCCTCACCTTTTCCAGGACTTTTTCCCGCTGGGCTCTGGACATGTTGGAGTGGACGCAGACGGCCCTCAGGCAGGGCGGGAGCCCCGACACCTGCGAGGCGGTGACATTTTAGGCATCTCCCGGCATTTTCCAGGTGGGAACGAGGCAGGAAAAGCTGAGAGGAGGTGGGGGGGAGTACCTGGTCGTCCATGAGGGAGACGAGCGGCGACACCACGAGGGTGAGGGCACGGCGGCAGCGCTGGTACAGCAGGGCGGGCAGTTGGTAGCACAGCGATTTACCCAGCCCCGTGGGCAGCACCACCAGCGTGGATAACCCTGAGGGGGAAAATGGGAATTGCCAGAAGTTACAGAGCTGGGAAAAGAGGGCAGGAAGAGGAGGAGGGAGGGAAGGGTGTGGGCAACACCACCAGTGTGGATAACCCTGAGGGGAAAAAATGGGAATGCCTAGAAGTTACAAAGCTGGGAAAAAAGGGTGGGAAGAGGAGGAGGGGAGGGTGTGAGCAACACAACCCTGAGGGAAAAAGGGGGAAAAAATGGGAATTCCCAGAAGCTACAAAGCTGGGAAAAAAGGGTGGGAAGGGTGTGGGCAACACCACCAGTGTGGATAACCCTGAGGGAAAAGGGGAAAAAACCAATGGGAATGCCTAGAAGTTACAAAGCTGGGAAAAAAGGGCGGGAAGGGTGTGGGCAACACCACCAGTGTGGATAACCCTGAGGGAAAAGGGGAAAAATGGGAATTGCCAGAAGTTACAGAGCTGGGAAAAGAGGGCAGGAAGAGGAGGAGGGAGGGAAGGGTGTGGGCAACACCACCAGCATGGATAACCCTGAGGGGAAAAGGGGAAAAAAACAATGGCAATGCCCAGAAGCTACAGAGTTGGGAAAAAAGGTGGGAAGAGGAGGAGGGAGGGTGTGGGTAACACAACCCTGAGGGAAAAAGGGGGAAAAAATGGGAATGTCCAGAAGCTACAAAGCTGGGAAAAAAGGTGGGAAGAGGAGGGAGGGGAGGGAAAAAACCCAGGAATTCCTAGAAGCTACGGAGCTGGGAAAAAAGGGCAAGAAGAGGAGGGAGGGGAGGGGAGGGTGTGGGGAACACAACCCTGAGGGAAAAAGGGGAAAAAAATGGGAATGCCCAGAAGTTACAAAGCTGGGGAAAAAAGGCGGGAAGAGGAGGGAGGGGAGGGAAAAACCCCAGGAATTCCCAGAAGCTACAGAGCTGGGATAAAAGGGCGGGAAGAGGAGGGAGGGGAGGGAGCTGGCAACACCACCAGCGTGGATAACCCTGAGGGGAAAGGGGAAAAAAATGGGAATGCCCAGAAGCTACAGAGCTGGGAAAAAAGGGTGGGAAGAGGAGGAGGGAGGGGAGGGTGTGGGCAACACAACCCTGAGGGAAAAAGGGGAAAAAATGGGAATGCCCAGAAGCTACAAAGCTGGGATAAGGAGGGAGGGGAGGGAGCGGGCAACACCACCAGTGTGGATAACTCTGAGGGAAAAGGGGAAAAAAACAATGGGAATTCTCAGAAGCTACAGAGTTGGGAAAAAAGGGCGGGAAGAGGAGGAGGGAGAGGAGGGTGTGGGCAACAGCACCAGCGTGGATAACCCTGAGGGAAAAGGGGAAAAAAACATAGGAATTCCCAGAAGCTACAAAGCTGTGAAAAGGAGGGAGGGGAGGGTGTGGGCAACAGCACCAGTGTGGATAACCCTGAGGGGGAAAAATGGGAATTGCCAGAAGCTACAGAGCTGTGAAAAGGAGGGAGGGAAGGGTGTGGGCAACACCACCAGCATGGATAACCCTGAGGGAAAAGGGGAAAAACAGTGGGAATGCCCAGAAGCTACAAAGCTGGGAAAAAAGGGCGGGAAGGGTGTGGGCAACAATACCAGCGTGGATAACCCTGAGGGGAAAAGGGGAAAAAACCAATGGGAATGCCCAGAAGCTACAGAGTTGGGAAAGGAGGAGGAGGGTGTGGGCACAGCACCAGCGTGGATAGAGAGGTGGAAGAGGAGGAGGGGAGGTGGGTAATACCACCCTGAGGGAAAAAGGGGAAAAAAATGGGAATGCCCAGAAGCTACAAAGCTGGGAAAAGGAGGGAGGAGAGGGTGTGGACAACACCACCAGCGTGGATAACACAATCCTGAGGGAAAAAGGGGAAAAAATGGGAATTCCCAGAAGCTACAAAGCTGGGAAAAAAGGTGGGAAGAGGAGGGAGGGGAGGGAAAAAAACCAGGAATTCCCAGAAGCTACAGAGCTGGGAAAAAAGGGCGGGAAGAGGAAGGAAGGGAGGGTGTGGGCAACACCACCAGTGTGGATAACCCTGAGGGGAAAAGGTAGAAAAATGGGAATTCCCAGAAGCTTCAAAGCTGGGAAAAAAGGGCGGGAAGAAGAGGGAGGGGAGGGTGTGGGCAACACAATCCTGAGGGAAAAAGGGGAAAAAATGGGAATGCCCAGAAGCTACAAAGCTGGGAAAAAAGGGTGGGAAGAAGAGGGAGGGGAGGGAAAAACCCCAGGAATTCCCAGAAGCTACAAAGCTGGGAAAAAGGGCAGGAAGAGGAAGGTGGGGTCCAACCGCAGAGGATCCTCATGACGGCCACGGCCTGGCCCGGGCGGAACGAGGCGTAGCCCAACTCCCTCAGAGCTTCCAGCACCTCCTCCGGCGGATCTGCGGGATGGAGGGTACGGAGATGGTGGCATTCCGAGGGGTAATTCCCACCTGGAATCCCTCCCTGTCGTACCTGGCACTGCTCCGTCCGGTCCCAGGCTGTAAAGCGGCTCCACGGGCGCCGGAAGAGGACACGGAGCCAATTCCGGCCTCCGCGTATCCAGGGACGGCGGCGCTTCCAGGGAGTCGGAGCCGCTCCCTGGCACGGAAGAGGGAGAAAGAGTCGGGATTCAAAGGGGGCATTCCCAATTTGGGCTCTTAGGAGGCGAAATCCACATTTTTAGAGCACGATGTCAATTTTTAGGGGAGAAAAATGATGTTTTTAGGGGAGAACAATGACATTTTTAGGGGAGAAAATCGCATTTTTAAGGGAGAACGGTGACATTTTTAGGGGAGGAAAGTCACATTTTTCGGGTCAAACCTCACGTTTTTGGAGTCAAGCATATGTTAAGGTCTAAAATTTCATTTTTGAGGCCAAATTCCTCATTTTCAAGGCCAAAATCCCAATTTTTAAGGTTTAAAGCCATCATTTTAGGGTCAAATCCCTCAGTTTTAAGATCCAGCCTCCTTTTTTTTAAGGCAAAACCCCACAGTTTAAGGACCAAATTCCTCATTTTTATGGCTCAATCCCTCTCTTAGGATAAAAAGCTGCATTTTTGGGGCCCAACCCCTCCTTTTTAGCCCCCAAATCCCAACCTTCCAAGCCCAATCCCTTCTTTTTAGCCCCCAAATCCCAACTTTCCAAGCCAAACCCCTCCCTTTTAGCCCCCAAATCCCAACTTTTTAGCCCCCAAATCCCAACTTTCCAAGCCCAATCCCTCCTTTTTAATGTTGGAATCTCTTCCCTCCAGCCCCTCCCGTCCCCTCACCGGAGATTCCCGGGAAAACGCTGTTGGTCCTTCGTGCCACTTCTTCCAGAGTGGGAAGAGGATCTTCCTCCTCCTCCTCCTCCTCCTCCTTGGGATCATTTTCCGCCGGGAACGATCCCGAATCCCTCCCTGCGTGTGGAAAATGGGATCATTCCCCCACTGTGGGGGGAATCCAGGACTGTGTCCCATGGGATGGGCTCTGGAGCTCCATCCAGGACTGTGTCCCATGGGATGATCCATCCAGGACTGTGTCCCATGGGATGGGCTCTGGAGCTCCATCCAGGACTGTGTCCCATGGGATGGGCTCTGGAGCTCCATCCAGAACTGTGTCCCATGGGATGGACTCTGGAGCTCCATCCAGGACTGTGTCCCATGGGATGGGCTCTGGAGCTCCATCCAGAACTGTGTCCCATAGGATGATCCATCCAGGACTGTGTCCCATGGGATGATCCATCCAGGACTGTGTCCCATGGGATGGGCTCTGGAGCTCCATCCAGGACTGTGTCCCATGGGATGGACTCTGGAGCTCCATCCAGGACTGTGTCCCATGGGATGGGCTCCTGGAGCTCCATCCAGGACTGTGTCCCATGGGATGGGCTCTGGAGCTCCATCCAGGACTGTGTCCCATGGGATGATCCATCCAGGACTGTGTCCCATGGGATGGACTCTGGAGCTCCATCCAGGACTGTGTCCCATGGGATGGACTCTGGAGCTCCATCCAGGACTGTGTCCCATGGGATGATCCATCCAGGACTGTGTCCCATGGGATGGACTCTGGAGCTCCATCCAGGACTGTGTCCCATGGGATGATCCATCAGAACTGTGTCCCATGGGATGATCCATCCAGGACTGTGTCCCATGGGATGGGCTCATCCTGGAGCTCCATCCAGGACTGTGTGCCATGGGATGATCCATCAGAACTGTGTCCCATGGGATGGGCTCATCCTGGAGCTCCTGCAGATGATCCATCCCTGAGCATTCCCACCTCATCCTACCTCCCCAATCCTCGGCTGCTTTTCCCCCCTCTCCTCCATCCAGGAGAGACAAACCAGCCTCAACCTCCCCTGGGAACACCCCCCCTTTACCTCCCACCCCTCATCCCTGAGTTCCTCTCCCTAAAAACCCCTCCAAGGAGCTTCCCAGCTCCCGAAATTCCCGACCTGGGCATTCCACGGCCCAGTGTCCGGCGTTCCCGCAGCGGAAGCAAACTCCGGATCCGCCGCCCCCGAACCGCTCCGACTTCTTCCTCCACTTCTCCCTCCACACCTGGCAAGGACGATCCCGTGGCTCATCCGTGTGGGAAGCTCCCTCCGGAGATTCCCGGGGGAATTCCCAACCTTTACCTGCTTCCGGAGGGTTTTCCCGCGCAGGGAGAAGCGGACGTAGCTTTTCCTCCTCAGGTTGAGCCTCACGAAATTCCCACCGCTCCGGGGGGCCGATCTGAGGGAAAATAGGGATGAGGAGACCCCTTCCCCTTCAGGAATTCCCCCCTTGGGAATCTCCACATCCCAGTCCTGCAAGGGGAGCTGGGAAAAGTCGGGAATCACCTGGGTTTGCGTGTGGGTTTGGGTTTTTCCTTCTGCTCCTCCTCTTCCTCTTCCCAGAAGTTTTCCAAGCGTTTTGGAGTCTTCCTGCTTCCCTCTGGAGTTTCCACCTGCTTTTCCTTCTGCTCCTCTTGCTCTTCCAGGAGGTTTTCCAAGCACTTTGGAGTCTTCCTGCTTCCCTCTGGAGCTTCCACCTGCTTTTCCTTCTGCTCCTCTTGCTCTTCCAGGATGTTTTCCAAGCATTTTGGAATCTTCCTCCTCTTCTTTGGAGCTCCCACCTGCTTTTCCTGCTCTTCTTCCTCCTCTTCCCGGAGTTTTTCCGAGCCTTCTGGCAGCTTCCTCCTCTTCTTTGGAAGCTTTTCCTGCTCCTCCTGTTGCTCTTCCAGGATGTTTTCCAAACGTTTCGGGGTCTTCCTCCTTTTCTTTGGAGTTTCCACCTGCTTTTCCTCCTCTTCCTGTTGCTTTTCCAGCCTGTTTTCCAAACAATCCCATGCCTTCCTGCTTTCCTTTGGAGCTCCCCCCTGCTTTTCCTTGTGCTCCTCTCCCTCTTCCGGGTGTTTTCCAAGCATTCCAAGATGTTTCCCGACGTTTTCCCGCTTTCCTTTGGAGCACCCCCCTCCTCTTCCTCCTCCCTGCTCTGCTTCATCCCAAATTTTCCCTCATCCAGTTCCTGGTGGTTCCTCTGGAGCTTTTTGGGAGCGTCCCCATCCTCTCCAACATTCCCACCAGGCCTTTTCCAGGTGGGAATCTCGACCTTCCCGGGAATTTCCTGGCACCTCTGGAGCCAGGCGGGATCCAGCGATCCCAAAGTCTGGGCCACCCTCTCCTTCAGCCGCTGGAATTTTTCGGGAGCAGGAGGAAGGGGGGGTTTCATTCCCGAGCTGAGGATGAGGGGGGGCAGTCCCGACAGGGAGGGAGGGAGGACGAAGGCTCCGGAATCTCCGGGATCATCTCCGCAATTCCCGGATTTTCCAGACTCTTCCTCACCCCCTGTGGGCTCCGGTTGTGTCCGGAATCTGGGAATGGCCGGGATCCTCCTGGGATTTGGGGTCCTGTGAGGGGTCAGGGGGGGCTCCTGCAGGAGGGGGAAAGGAAGAAGGGTCAGATCCCCCCTCCCAGAATTCCGGCTTGGAAAGAGAGGGATGAGATTTTGGGGGGGCTCTGATTTTGGGGAGGGGTCCCTCATTTTGGGGGTCTCTGGTATTTGGGTCCCTGATTTTGGGGGTCCCTCATTTTGAGGGTCTCCAATTTGGGGTCCTTGGTTTTGGGGGTCTCTGATTTTGGGGGGGGGTCCTGATTTTGGGGTCTTTGATTCTGGAGTCTCTGATTGGGGGTCTCTGATTTTGGGATCCCTCGTTTTGGGGGTCTCCAATTTGGGTTCCCTGATTTTGGGGCTCCCTGATTTTGGAACCTCTGACTTTGGGGGTTCCTGATTTTGGGGTCCCTGATTTTGGGGGTCTCCAATTTGGGGGGTCTTCTTTTCGGGGGATCCCTCATTTTGGGGGTCTCTTATTTTGGAGTCCCTAATTTTGGGGGTTCCTGATTTTGGGGAGGGGTTCCTGATTTTGGGGGTCTCTGGTATTTGGATCCCTGATTTTGGGGGTCTCTCATTTTGGGGGTCTCCAATTTGGGGTCCCTGATTTTGGGGGTCTCTGATTTTAGGGGGTCCCTGATTTTGGGGGTCTCGATTTTGGGGGTCTCTGATTTTGGGGGTCTCTGGTATTTGGGTCCCTGATTTTGGGGGTCTCCAATTTGGGGTCCCTGATTTTGAGGTCCTTGACTTTGGGGGTCTCCAATTTGAGGGTCCCTGATTTTGGGGGTCTCTGATTTTGGGGGGTCCCTCGGTTTGGGGGTCTCCCGTATTTGAGGTCCCTGATTTTGGGGGTCTCTGGTATTTGGGTCCCTCATTTGGGAGTCTCTGGTATTTGGGGCCCCTGATTTTGGGGGGGCTCCCTGATTTTGAAGTCCTTGATTTTGGGGGCCTCCAATTTGGGGTTCCCTGATTTTGGGGTCCCTCATTTTGGAATATCTGACTTTGGGGGTTCCTGATTTTGGGGTCCCTGATTTTGGGGGTCTCCAATTTGGGGGGCCTCTTTTTCAGGGATCCCTGATTTTGGGGGTCTCGTATTTTGGAGTCCCTAACTTTAGGGGTTCCTGATTTTGGGGGGTCTCTGATTTTGGGGGTCTCTCATTTTGGGGGTCTCCAATTTGGGGTCCCTGATTTTGGGGGGGGGGCTCCTTGATTTTGAAGTCCTTGATTTTAGGGGTCTCCAATTTGAGGGTCCCTGATTTTGGGGGTCTCTGATTTTGGGGGGTCCCTCAATTTGGGGGTCTCCAGTATTTGGGGTCCCTGACTTTGGGGGGGTCCCTGATTTTGGGGTCCCTGATTTTGGGGTCTCCAGTTTAGGGGGCTCTCTTTTTGGGGGATCCCTGACTTTGGGGGTCCTTCATTTTGGAACCTCTGACTTTGGGGGTTCCTGATTTTGGGGGTCTCCAATTTGGGGGGCCTTCTTTTTGGGGGATCCCTCATTTTGGGGGTCTCTGATTTTGGGGTCTCTGATTTTGGGGGTCCCTCGTTCTTGAGCCTCTAATTTTGGGAGTTCCTTAGTTTGGGGGTCCCTGACTTTGGGGAGGTCCCTGATTTTGGGGGCCTCCAATTTGGGGGGCCCTCATTTTGTGCAATCCCTGATTTTGAGGTCTCCAATTTGGGGTCCCTGATTTTGGGGGTCTCTGATTTTGGAGTCTCTAATTTTGGGGCTGCCTGATTTTGGGGTGTCCCTCATTTAGAGGGTCTCTGATTTTTGAGGGTCCTGATTTAGGGTCTGATTTTGGGGTCCCTTGATTTTTGGGGTTCCTGGGTTTTGGGGGTCTCTAATTTTGGGGTCCCTGATTTTGGGGTTCCCTGATTTGGGGGTCTCTGATTTTGGAGTCTCTAATTTTGGGGGTCTCTGATTTTGGGGGTTTCCAATTTGGGGTTCCTCATTTTGGGGGTCTCCGATTTTGGGGGTCTCTGGTATTTGGGTCCCTGATTTTGAGGGTCCCTCGTTTTGGGGGTCTCCAATTTGGGGTCTCTGATTTTAGGGGATCCCTCATTTGGGAGTCTCTGCTTTTGGGGTTCCCTGATTTTGGGGGTCTCTGATTTTGGGGGTCCCTCATTTTGGGGGTCTCTGGTATTTGGGGTCCCTGATTTTGAGCTCTGATTTTGGGGGTCCCTCGTTTTGGGGGATTTTTGGGGTTCCCTGATTTTGGGGTCCCTCATTTTGGAATCTCTGACTTTGGGGGTTCCTGATTTTGGGGTCCCTGATTTGGGGAGGTCCCTGATTTTGGCGGCCTCCAATTTGGGGGGCCCTCATTTTGTGCAATCCCTGATTTTTGGGGTCTCTGATTTTGGGGTCCCTGATTTTGGAGTCTCTGATTTTAAGGGTTTCTGATTTTAGGGGTCTCCAATTTGGGGTCTCTGATTTTGGGATCCCTGATTTTGGGGGTCTCCAATTTGGGGGTCCCAAAAGCCACAATTTTTTTTTGGGGGGGGGGGTCCAAACTCCCCAAGATCTCCCAGAGCAGCTCCCCCCTTTCCCCTCCCCCACCAAATCCTGACCTTCCCAGTTTGTCCCAGTTTGGATTTCAGCTTCATCCCATAAAACTGGGCCGACATTCCCGCCCCGCTCCGGCTCTTCCCGGGAATCTTCGGCTTCCGGTTCAGGTGGGAACCCCAAAATCCGCAATCCTGCAACCAAAAACCCCCAGGAACGTCAAAGATCCCAAAAAATTGGAATCCTGCCAGGAAAACAGCCTGGAAGAGCTGGGAAACAAGAGGGATTGGAGCATCCCACGGGATATTTCGGGATGAAAACACCCCCAAATCCCACTTTTCCATCTCCAAATCCCCCTTTTCCTCCCTCAAATCCCCCTTTCCCACTCCCAAATCCCCCTTTTCCGCCCCCAAATCCCTTTTCCACCCCTAAATCCCCCTTTTCCACCCTAAATCCCACTTTTCCACCCCCAAATCCCCCTTTTCCACCCCCAAATCCCACTTCCCCCCCCCAAATCCCCCTTTCCCACCCCAAATCCGCCTTTTCCTGCCCCAAATCCTGTTTTCCTTGCCCAAATCCCCTTTCCCACCCCCAAATCCCTCTTTCCACCTAAATCCCCTTTCCCTCCCCAAATCCCATTTTCCACCCCAAATCCCACTTTTCCACCCCAAATCCCCTTTCCACCCTCAAATCCTCCTTTCCCTCCCCCAAATCCCATTTTCCACCCCGAAATCCCCCTTTTTCATCCCCAAATCCCCCTTTCTCACTCCCAAATCCCCATTTTCTCTCTCAAATCCCCTTTCCACCCCAAATCCCAATTTTGCATCCCCAAATCCCCCTTTTCCTCCCCCAAATCCCCCTTTTCCTCCCCCAAATCCTCCTTTTCCTCCCCCCCAAATCCCCTTTTCCTCCCTCAAATCCCACCTTTTCCTCCCTCAAATCCCGCTTTCCTTCCAAATCCCTTTCACCCCAAATCCCACTTTCCACAAATCCCTTTTCATCCCAAATCCCCTTTCCTCCCAATCCCATTTTCCTCTCCAATCCCCTTTCACCCCAAACCCCATTTCATCCCCAAATCCCTTTCCTCCCCAATCCTCCTTTCGCCTCAAATCCCCTTTTCCACCCTCAAATCCTTTCCCCAATCCTTTCCTCCCTCAAACTCCTTTCCTCCCCAAATCCTCCTCGCCTCAAATCCCCTTTCCTCCCAAATCCCCCTTTTCCATCCCCAAATCCTCCTTTTCCACCCCCAAATCCTCCTTTTCCACTCCCAAATTCCACTTTTCCATCCCCAAATCCCCCTTTTCCTCCCCCAAATCCCCCTTTTCCTACCCCAAATCCCCCTTTTCCTACCCCAAATCCCCCTTTTCCTACCCCAAATCCCATTCTCCTCTCTCAAATCCCTCTTTCCCACCCCCAAATCCCCATTTTTTGAGCATTTTCAATCCCAAACCAGCCCCAATTTTTCCCTTTTAAACCCAACCCATTCCCAAGAAAACATGGAATAAAAAAAATATTTTTTTTTTTCCTAGAAAGGAAAAAAAAAAAACCAGGATAAAAAACCCCAACCCCTTTGGATCCAGGATAATTTTAGGGACAAGGTTTTGCAGACCCCAAAGAGCTGATTTTCCAATACCTGCTCCACAGCTGGAATTTCCTGGGATCCCCCTTTTCCAGAGGGATCCAAACCTTTTCCCAACTCTTTCTTCAACATCCTGTATTCCTTGTAGAGCCCTGGGGAAAAGTGGGAATAACCCAAAGGGGAATATTTGGGATTTTTGGAAGGAAAAATCTGCCCTTTCCCTGGAATTCCCACCCTGGAATGGCCCGAAATTCCTGGGAACTCACGCCGGGTTTCCTCGGGAGCCGCTTCGATGTCGGCCTGGGAAGGGAGGGGAAAAAAACGGGAATTTTGGGCAATGATCCCGATTTTTGGGATGCGGGGGAGGGTGGGATGGGGAAGGGATGGGGGTTTGGAGTCCATCAGAGACCCCCAAGAGCAGCTCAGACACCCCCAAATCACCCCAAAGACCCCCCAAACGAACCCCCCTATTCCAGAGACCCCCAGAGCAGCTCAGACACCCCAAATCACCCCAAAGACCCCCAAAACAACCCCCTATTCCAGAGACCCCCAAACCAATCCTCCTTTCCAGGGACCCCCAAAACAACCCCCTATTCCAGGGACCCCAAACCACCCCAAAGACTCCCCCAAAACCAGCCCAGGGAACCCCAGACCACCCCAAAGAGCCCCCAAAACAACCCCCCTATGCAAGGGACCCCCAAACCATCTCAGGGAACACCAAACCACCCCAAAGACCCCCAAACCAACTCCCCTATTCCAGGGACCCCAGACCACCCCAAAGACCCTCCCCAAAACAGCTCCCTATTCCAGGGACTGCCCCAAACCATCTCAGGAACCCCAGACCACCCGAAAGACCCCCAAAAACAACCCCCTTATTTCAGGACCCCCAAACCACCCCAAAGAGCCCCCAAAACAACCCCCTATGCCAGGGACCCCCAAAAACAACCCCCTAATCCAAGGACCCCCAACCAGCCCAGGGAACCCCAAATCACCCCAAAACAACCCCCTTATTCCAGAGACCCCCAAACCAATCCCCCTTTTCCAGGAACCCCCAAAGCAGCCCAGGAACCCCAAACCACCCCAAAGACCCCCAAAACAGCCCCCTATTCCAGGGAACCCCAAACCACCCCAAGGACCCCCTAATCCAACCCCCCTATTCCAGGGACCCCCCCCAAACCAGCCCAGGGACCCCCAGAACACCCCAAAGACCCCTAATCCAACCCCCTATTCCAGGGACCCCCAAACCATCTCCAGGAACCCCAAAACACCCCAAAGACCCCCAAAACAGACCCTCTATTCCAGAGACCCCCCAAAACAAACCCCTTATCCAAACACCCCCCAAACAACCCCCTGTTCCAGAGACCCCCAAACCAATCCCCTTTTCCAGGGACCCCCAAACCAGCCCAGGGAACCCCAAATCACCCAAAGACCCCCCAAAACCAGCCCAGGGAACCCCAGACCACCCCAAAGAGCCCCCAAAACAACCCCCTATGCAAGGGACCCCCCAAACCATCTCAGGGAACCCCAGACCACCCAAAGACCCCCAAACCAACCACCCCTATTCCAGGGACCCCAGACCACCCCAAAGACCCCCCAAAACAACCCCTATTCCAGGGACCCCCAAACCAGCCCAGGAACCCCAGACCACCCGAAAGACCCCCAAACCAACCCCTTATTTCAGGGACCCCCAAACCACCCCAAAGAGCCCCCCAAAACAACCCCCCTAATCCAAGGACCCCCCCAAACCAGCCCAGGGAACCCCAGACCACCCCAAAGACCCCCAAACAACCCCTATTCCAGAGACCCCCAACCAATCCCCTTTTCCAGGGACCCCCAAACCAGCCCAGGGACTCCCAAACCACCCCAAAGACCCCCAAACCAACCCTCTATTCCAGGGACCCCCAAAGAACCCCCTAATCCAGGGACCCCCAAACCAGCCCAGGGACCCCCAAACCAGCCTAGGGACCTCCCAGGGACCCCCAGACCAGCCCAGGGACCCTCTAAAACAGCCCAGGAACCCCCAGGACCCCCAAACCAGCCCAGGGACCCCTCAGGGACCCCCCAAACAGCCCCCCCAGCACCTGGCTGGGCTTCCGCCGCTGTTCCCGCAGGAATTCCGCTTCCCAGCGCTTCAGCAGCGCCTTCACCTCCTGCTGCCGCTCCATGGCCGCGGGATCGAGGCCGGGGTTTTTGGGGGATTTGGGGTTTTTGGGGATTTTGGGGGTCCAGGGGGATCCGTTCCCTGCTCAGAGCGAAGCTCCCGCGCCCGCCTCGCCTCAGCCAATGGGGAGCGAGGGATCGGTGATGGACGGCGAGGGGAGCCAATGGGAAGCAGTAAATCGCGAAGGGCCCGCCTACGCCTCACGTCGACCAATAAAACGCGAGAAGAAGTTTTGACGGACAGCGGGAAGAGCCAATCGAAAGGCAAATCCCGCCTAACGGAGCGGGTCTCGCTCGCTGATTGGCAGGGGGCGCAGGAGAGACCCGGAAGTGGCGCTTCCGTGCCGGCCCTGGGAGGGCGGGAACGGTCTGAGGGGGCGCCATGTTGGGGGCAGGGGGTCCTTTGGGGTCCCTGAGGGGGTTTGGGGGTCCCTGGGGTGGGGAGGTTGGTTTTAGGGTCCCTGAGGGGGTTTGGGGGTGTCGGGGGTCCCTGGGGTGGGGAGGTTGGTTTTGGGGTCCCTGAGGGGGTTTGGGGGTGTCAGGAGGGGTCCTGGGGTGGGCAGGTTGGTTTTGGGGTCCCTGAGGGGTTTGGGGGGTCCCTGGGGTGGGCAGGTTGGTTTTGGGGTCCCTGAGGGGTTTGGGGGGTCCCTGGGGTGGGCAGGTTGGTTTTGGGGTCCCTGAGGGGGTTTGGGGGGTCGGGGGTCCCTGGGGTGGGAGGTTGGTTTTGGGGTCCCTGAGGGGGTTTGGGGGGGCAGAGGGACCCCCCTTTTCTCGGGGGCTGCCTTGGGGGTCCCACCCCAGCGACCCCTTTGCCTCTCCCTCCTTTTTTTTCGGGATACTCCTCTGGATTGGGGGCTCCCTGGGATTCTCCCACCCCCTCCCACCCCGGGGTTTCCCAAAGCTCAGCTGTGCCCCCCCAAATCCCGCAGCCCCCCCGGATCCATGGATTCCATGACCCCATAATTCCATGACCCTATAACTCCAAGATCCCCAAATTCCATGACCCTATAACTCCAAGATCCCCAAATTCCATGACCCTATAACTCCAAGATCCCATCATTCCCTCTGTTTTCCAGCCAGGACGGATCCGGTGCCGCAGGAACCACACGGAATTGCCACTGCTTCCCACGGGATGTTCATTAGGGATTAATAATTAATAAATTAATCAATAAATCACTCAGTTCCTGCCCAATCCCCCCCTCCCAACTCCCAAATCCAGCGAGGATCCGGCACAGCGACTTCCAATCTTTTTTTTGGGGGGGGGGAAATTCATGGAAAACTGGGGATCCCGGGGCTGGAATTGGCTCCCTCCCAGTTTGGGGGATCTTTGGTGGGTGGGGAGTCTCCAATTCCATTACTATGGGAATGATGGGAATGATGTGGGGTCTCCAATTCCATCACATCCCGGTGCCATGGGATGCCGTGTATGGTGTGGGATCTCCAATTCCATCACATCCCATTCCCATGGGAATGATGTGGGGTCTCCAATTCCATCACATCCCGTGGCCATGGGATGATGGGAATGGTTGGGGGTCTCCAATTCCATGTATCCCGTTGCCGTGGGATGACGGGAATGGTTGGGGTGTCTCCGACTCCTCCCAATCCCCCCTCCCTGTGGATCCCAGCGGATCCCGCCCCTTCCCCGGCCCCTCCCGCCGTTCCCGGCTGGAGCAGCGGGAGCAGCTCCCTCTTTCCCGTCACATCCCCGCATTCCCAGCTGGAGCAGAGGGAGCAGCTCCCGCTTCCCGGTCACATCTTCCCCGTCACATCCCTGCATTCCCAGCTGGAGCAGCGGGAGGATCTCCCCTTGGAGCCGATCCCTGCCCCGTTCCCGGCTGGAGTAGCGGGAGGATCTCCCCTTGGAGCCGATCCCTGCCCCGTTCCCGGCTGGAGCAGAGGGAGCAGCTCCCGCTTCCCCGTCACATCTTCCCGGTCACATCCCTGCATTCCCGGCTGGAGCAGCGGGAGCAGCTCCCTCTTCCCCGTCACACCCCGATCCCCGCATTCCCAGCTGGAGCAGCTCCCTCTTCCCTGTCACACCCCGATCCCCGCATTCCCAGCGGGAGCAGCTCCCTCTTCCCCGTCACACCCCGATCCCCGCATTCCCAGCTGGAGCAGCGGGAGCAGCTCCCTCTTCCCCGTCACACCCCGATCCCCGCATTCCCGGCTGGAGCAGCGGGAGCAGCTCCCTCTTCCCCATCACATCCCTCCCTTCCCTTCGCTGCTGGAGCAGCGGGAGGATCTCCCGTGGGAGCCGCTCCCCGCTCCATTCCCGGCTGGAGCAGCGGGAGAATCTCCCCGCTCAGCCGGTGCCTGCTGCCTTCCCACTCGAAGTGCGTGGGGGGCCGCTCCGGGCCGTGCCCGAAGTGGAACCGGGGGCTCCACTCGGCGGCCAGCGCGGACCGCACCAGCCCCACGCCCCCCACGCGCGGCGGGGCCGGGTGGTAGAGCCGCCCGTTGCGCGGCAGCAGCGCCAGCCCCCGCGGCTCGAAGGGCACGGCCAGCGCCGCGCCCGCCCCGCACAAGGAGAGCAGGGCGCGGCCGCGGGGCCCCGGCAGCAGCTCCGTGAACACCACGGGCCGGTCCTCGCAGCGCAGGAAGTTCCGCTCCCGCCCGCAGCGAGAAAGGAACGGGAACTCCAGCTCGTAGCGGCCGCTCCGGTTCGGCTCCAGGTGGCGGAAGAAGAAGGACAGGAAGGCAACGTCTGGAGGGAGGGGGGGAAAAAAAGATGGGATCAGATCCTGGGATGGAGGGGTTTGTGGCTCGCGGGATAAAGGGGTTCATGGATCAGCTCCCGGGATGGTGGGATTCAGGGATCAGCTCCCGGGATGGAGGGATTCAGGGATCAGCTCCCAGGATGGAGGGATTCAGGGATGAGCTCTCAGGATGGAGGGATTCAGGGATGAGCTCTCAGGATGGAGGGATTTAGGGATGAGCTCCTGTGATGGAGGGATTCAGGGATGAGCTCCCGGGATTAAGGGGTTTAGGGATGAGCTCCTGGGATTAAGGGGTTTAGGGATGAGCTCCTGGGATTAAGGGGTTTAGGGATGAGCTCCTGGGATTAAGGGATTCTTGGATCAGCTCCCGGGATGGAAAGATTTAGGGTTGAGCTCCTGGGATTAAGGGATGAGCTCCCGGGATGGAGGGATTCATGGCTCCCAGGATTCAGGGATGAGCTCTCAGGATTAAGGGATTCATAGATGATCTCCAAGGATTAAGGGATTCATGGATGAGCTCTCAGGATGTCGGCCTGGGAAGGGAGGGGAAAAAAACAGGGAATTTCGGGCAATGAGTCGATTTTTGGGATTTGCAGGGGGAGGAGGGTGGGATGGGGAAGGGAGATTGAGGGGTTTGGAGGTCCATCAGAGACCCCCCAAGAGCAGCTCAGACACCCCAAATCACCCCAAAGACCCCCAAAGCAACCCCCTATTCCAGAGACCCCCAAACCAATCCCTTTTCCAGGGACCCCCAAACCAACCCAGGGAACCCAAACCACCCCAAAGACCCCTAATCCAACCCCCTATTCCAGGGACCCCCAAACCACCCCCAAAGACCCCCCCAAACAGACCCTATTCCAGGGACCCCCTAGACCACCCTAAAGACCCCCCAAACCAACCCCCTTTTCCAGGGACCCCCAAACCATCTCAGGAACCCCAAACCACCCCAAAGACTCCCCAAACCAACCCTCCCTATTCCAGGACCCCAAACCATCCCAAAGACCACCCCAAACAGCCCCCTATTCCGAGGACCCCCAAAACCAAGCCTCCCTTTTCCAGGGAACCCCCAAACCAATCACCCTTTTCCAGGGACCCCCAAACCAGCCCAGGAACCCCAAACCACCCCAAAGACCCCCCAAACCAGGGACCCCCCAAACCAGCCCAGGGAACCCTAAACCACCCCAAAGACCTCCCCAAACCAACCCCCTAATCCAGGGACCCCCAAAACCAGCCCAGGGAACCCCAAAACACCCCAAAGACCCCTAATCCAACCCCCTAATCCAGGGACCCCCAAAGCAGCTCAGGGACCCCAAACCACCCCAAAGACCCCCAAAACAACCCCCTTTCCAGGGACCCCCAAACCAACCCAGGAACTCCAAATCACCCCCAAAACAACCCCTATTCCAGAGACCCCCAAACCACCCCAAAGACCACCCCAACCAACCCCTATTCCAGAGACCCCCAAATCACCCCAAAGACCTCCCAAACCAATCCCCTATTCCAGGGACCCCAAATCACCCCAAAGACCCCCTAAACCAATCCCCTATTCCAGGGACCCCAAATCACCCCAAAGACCCCTCAAACCAATCCCTATTCCAGGGACCCCAAATCACCCCAAAGACCCCCCTAAACCAACCCCTATTCCAGGGACCACCAAATCACCCCAAAGACCCCTCAAACCAATCCCCTATTCCAGGGACCACCCCAAACCAGCCCAGGAACCCCAAACACTCCAAAGACCCCTAATCCAACCCCCTAATCCAGGACCCCCCAAACCATCTCAGGAACCCCAGACCACCCCAAAGACCCCCCAAAACAACCCCCTATTCCAGAGACCCCCAAACCACCCCAAAGACCCCCCAAACCAACTCCTCTATTCCAGGGACCTCCCAAAACCAGCCCAGGGAACCCCAAAACACCCCAAAGACCCCTAATCCAACCCCTAATGCAGGGACTTCCCAAACCATCTCAGGGAACCCCAGACCACCCCAAAGACCCCCAAAACAACCCCCTATTCCAGAGACCCCCCCAGAGCAGCTCACGGAACCCCAAACCACCCCAAAGACCCCCCAAAACAACCCCCTATTCCAGGGACCCCCAAACCAACCCCCTTTTCCAGGGACCCCCAACCAGCCCAGGGACCCCCAAACTCCCCCAAATCAGCCCAGGGACCCCCAGACCAGCCCAAGGACCCCCAAACCAGCCCAGGGACCCTCAAACCAGCCCAGGGAACCCCAGACCAGCCCAGGGACCCCAAACCAGCCCAGGGACCCCCAAACCAGCCTGGGACCCCAAACCAGCCCAGGGACCCCCAAATCAGCTCAGGGACCCTCCAAAACAGCCCAGGAACCCCCAGACCAGCCCATGGGACCCCCAAACTCCCCAAATCAGCCCAGGGACTCCCCAGACCAGCCTCAGGGACTCCCCAGAATCAGCCCTCAGGGACCCCTAAATCAGCCCAGGGACCCCCAAACTCAGCCTAGGGACCCCAAACTCCCTCAAATCAGCCCAGGGACCCCAGATCAGCCCAGGGACCCCCAAACCAGCTCAGGACCCTCTAAGCCAGCCCAGGGACCCCCAAACCAGCCTGGGACCCCTCAGGACCCCCAACTCCCACACCCCCGCCCCAGCACCTGGCTGGGCTTCCGCCGCTGTTCCGCAGGAATTCCGCTTCCCAGCGCTTCAGCAGCGCCTTCACCTCCTGCTGCCGCTCCATGGCCGCGGGATCGAGGCCAGGGGTCTTTTGGGGGATTTGGGGTTTTGGGGATTTTGGGGGTCCGGGGGATCCCGTTCCCTGCTCAGAGCGAAGCTCCCGCGCCCGCCTCGCCTCAGCCAATGGGGAGCGAAGGATCGGTGATGGACGGCGAGGGGGCCAATGGGAAGCAGTAAATCGCGAAGGGCCCGCCTACGCCTCACGTCGACCAATAAAACGCGAGAGGAAGTTTTGACGGACAGCGGGAAGAGCCAATCGAAGGGCAAATCCCGCCTACCGGGGCGGGCCTCGCTCGCTGATTGGCGGGGGCGCAGGAGAGACCCGGAAGTGGCGCTTCCGTGCAGCCCTGGGAGGGCAGGGAACGGTCTGAGGGGGCGCCATGTTGGGGGGCAGGGGGTCCTTTGGGGTCCCTGAGGGGGTTTGGGGGTCCCTGGGGTGGGGAGGTTGGTTTTGGGGTCCCTGAGGGGGTTTGGGGGTGTCGGGGGTCCCTGGGGTGGGGAGGTTGGTTTTGGGGTCCCTGAGGGGGTTTGGGGGTGTCCCTGGGGTGGGGAGGTTGGTTTTGGGGTCCCTGAGGGGTTTGGGGTGTCAGGGGGTCCCTGGGGCGGGGAGGTTGGTTTTGGGGTCCCTGAGGGGGTTTGGGGGTCCCTGGGGTGGGGAGGTTGGTTTTGGGGTCCCTGAGGGGGTTTGGGGGTGTCAGGGGTCCCTGGGGCGGGGAGGTTGGTTTTGGGGTCCCTGAGGGGTTTGGGGGTCCCTGGGGTGGGGAGGTTGGTTTTGGGGTCCCTGAGGGGGTTTGGGGCTCCCTGGGGTGGGGAGGTTGGTTTTGGGGTCCCTGAGGGGGTTTGGGGGGTCCCTGGGGTGGGGAGGTTGGTTTTGGGGTCTCTGACCTTATAATTCCAGATCCCATAATTGCATGACCCTATAACTCCAAGATCCCCAAATTCCATGACCCTACAACTCCAAGATCCCCAAATTCCATGACCGTATAACTCCAAGATCCCCAAATTCCATGACCCTACAACTCCAAGATCCCCAAATTCCATAACCCTATAACTCCAGGATCCCCAAAATCCATGACCCTATAACTCCAAGATCAACAAACTCCAAGATCCCAAAATTCCATGACCCTATAACTCCAAGATCCCCAATAACTCCAAGATCCCAAAATTTCATGACCCTGTAACTCCAAGATCCCCAAATTCCATGACCCTATAACTCCAAGATCCCAAATTCCATGGCCCATAAATCCAAGATCCCATAATTCCATGACCCTATAACTCCAAGATCCCCAATAACTCCAAGATCCCAAATTCCATGACCCTATAACTCCAAGATCCCCAAATTCCATGACCCCATAAATCCAAGATCCCATAATTCCATGACTCTATAACTCCAAGATCCCATCATTCCCGCTGTTTTCCAGCCGGGACGGATCCGGTGCCGCAGGAACCACACAGAATTGCCACTGCTTCCCATGGGATGTTCATTAGGGATTAATAAATTAATCAATAAATTAATCAATAAATCACTCAGTTCCTGCCCAATCCCCCCCTCCCAACCCCCAAATCCAGCGAGGATCCGGCACAGCGGCTTCCAATCTTTTTTTTGGGGGGTAAATTCATGGAAAACTGGGAATCCCGGGGCTGGAATTGGCTCTCTCCCAGTTTGGGGGATCTTTGGTGGGTGGGGAGTCTCCAATTCCATTACTATGGGAATGATGGGAATGATGTGGGGTCTCCAATTCCATGTATCCCATTACCATGGGATTGATGGGAATGATGTGGGATCTCCAATTCCATCACATCCCATTCCCATGGGAATGATGGGAATGATGTGGGGTCTCCAATTCCATCACATCCCGGTGCCATGGGATGACGGGAATGGTTGGGGTGTCTCCGACTGCTCCCAATCCCCCCTCCCTGTGGATCCCAGCGGATCCCGCCCCTTCCCCGGCCCCTCCCGCCGTTCCCGGCTGGAGCAGCGGGAGCAGCTCCCGCTTCCCGGTCACATCTTCCCCATCATATCCCGCCGTTCCCGGCTGGAGCAGAGGGAGCAGCTCCCGCTTCCCGGTCACATCTTCCCCATCATATCCCGCCGTTCCCGGCTGGAGCAGAGGGAGCAGCTCCCGCTTCCCGGTCACATCTTCCCCATCATATCCCGCCGTTCCCGGCTGGAGCAGAGGGAGCAGCTCCCGCTTCCCGGTCACATCTTCCCCGTCACATCCCTGCATTCCCAGCTGGAGCAGCGGGAGGATCTCCCCTCGGAGCCGATCCCTGCCCCGTTCCCGACTGGAGCAGCGGGAGCAGCTCCCTCTTCCCCGTCATATCCCGCCGTTCCCGGCCGGAGCAGTGGAAGCAGCTCCCGCTTCCCCGTCACATCTTCCCGGTCACATCCCCGCATTCCCAGCCGAAGCAGAGGAAGCAGCTCCCTCTTCCCCGTCACATCCCGATCCCCGCATTCCCAGCTCCCTCTTCCCCGTCACACCCCGCTCCCCGCTCCGTTCCCTGCTGGAGCAGCGGGAGGATCTCCCGTCCCACCCGATCCCTGCTGGAGCAGCGGGAGGATGTCCCCGCTCAGCCGGTGCCTGCTGCCGTCCCACTCGAAGTGCGTGGGGGGCCGCTCCGGGCCGTGCCCGAAGTGGAACCGGGGGCTCCACTCTGCGGCCAGCGCGGACCGCACCAGCCCCACGCCCCCCACGCGCGGCGGGGCCGGGTGGTAGAGCCGCCCGTTGCGCGGCAGCAGCGCCAGCCCCCGCGGCTCGAAGGGCACGGCCAGCGCCGCGCCCGCCCCGCACAAGGAGAGCAGGGCGCGGCCGCGGGGCCCCGGCAGCAGCTCCGTGAACACCACGGGCCGGTCCTCGCAGCGCAGGAAGTTCCGCTCCCGCCCGCAGCGAGAAAGGAACGGGAATTCCAGCTCGTAGCGGCCGCTCCGGTTCGGCTCCAGGTGGCGGAAGAAGAAGGACAGGAAGGCAACGTCTGGAGGGAGTGGGGGAAAAAAAGATGGGATCAGATCCTGGGATGGAGGGATTTGTGGCTCGCGGGATAAAGGGATTCATGGATCAGCTCCCAGGATGGAGGGATTTAGGGATGAGCTCCTGGGATGGAGGGATTCAGGGATGAGCTCCTCGGATTAAGGGGTTTAGGGATGAGCTCCTCGGATTAAGGGATTCTTGGATCAGCTCCCAGGATGGAAAGATTTAGGGTTGAGCTCCTGGGATTAAGGGATGAGCTCCCGGGATGGAGGGATTCATGGCTCCCAGGATTCAGGGATGAGCTCTCAGGATTAAGGGATTCATGGATGATCTCCCAGGATTAAGGGATTCATGGATGAGCTCTCAGGATCAAGGGATTCTTGGCTCCCAGGATTAAGGGATTCTTGGATCAGCTCCTGGGATGGAGGAATTCAGAGAGGAGCTCCTGGGATTAAGGGATTTAGGGATGAGCTCCTGGGATTAAGGAGTTTAGGGATGAGCTCCTGGGATTAAAGGATTTAGGGATGAGCTCCTGGGATTAAGGAGTTTAGGGATGAGCTCCTGGGATTAAAGGATTTAGGGATGAGCTCCCGGGATGGAGGGATTCATGGATGAGCTCCCAGGATGGAGGAATTCCTGGATCAGCACCAGGGAATTGGAGCTGGATTTAGGAGGCATTTCCTTAAGCTGCTTCCATTTGGGAAGGGGCTGAGGGAGGATCCCTTTGGGAAGGGGAAGGGGGTCAGGGAGGATCCCTTTGGGAGGGGGCTGAGGGAGGATCCCTTTGGGAAGGGGATCAGGGAGGATCCCTTTGGGAAGGAAGGGGGTCAGGGAGGATCCCTTTGGGAAGGGAAGGGATCAGGGAGGATCCCTTTGGGAAGGGGTCAGGGAGGATCCCTTTGGGAAGGGGAAGGGGCTGAGGGAGGATCCCTTTGGGAAGGGGGGGGATCAGGGAGGATCCCTTTCGGAAGGGGGGGGATCAGGGAGGATCCCTTTCGGAAGGAAGGGGGTCAGGGAGGATTTGCCTCTGGATTCAGGAAGAATAAACGGGAATTCCTCCCCAGCAGGAGGTGCTGAATTAAAAAAGGGGGCTCTGGGTAATTAAAGAGGGGTAATTAACGAGGTCATTAATATGCAAATGAGGCAAAAATTCCCAAGGGGAATTCCCACCTTTCCTGCCCCTTCCTGGGGCTCAGCTCCCAAAATTCAGGAGCAAATCCCGATGAAGGATCGGATCCCGGTGAACAGCGGGGTCCTAATTAACGACGGGACGCTAATTAGGGCTGGGGGAGGGGCCTGGGGGGGGGTCCTGGTACCTTTGAAGCAGGTGATGAAATTCTTCACTTTGGTGTCATCCAGGAAAAGCTGCGGAAAAAGCGGGAAAAAGTGGGGAAAAGTGGGGAAAAAGTGGGAAAAAGCCTCAAAACACTCTGGTCTGTCCCGGGATCCCTTTGGGATCTGTTTGGGATCTGCCTGGGGTGTGTCCTGATTCTGCCTGGGACCTGCTTGGGATCCACCTGGGATCTCCCTGGGATCCATTTGGGATCTGTCCCACCCCTAGAAACACCCAGACCCCCTACAGACCCCCCACCCCATACAGAGCCCCCTCCTACAGCCCCCACCCTACAGACCCTCAAACCCCCTACAGACACCCCCACACCCCACAGACCCCCTCAGACCCCCACAGACCCCATAACTCACCCCTACAGACCCCCAGACCCTACAGACCCCCAATTACCCTGCAGGCCCTCAGACCCCTACCCACCCCTACAGACCCTCAAACTCCCTACAGACACCCTCACCCTCACAGACACCCCTCAGACCCTACAGACCCCTACCCACCCCTACAGACCCTCAAACCCCCTACAGACACCCCCACACCCCACAGACCCCCTCAGACCCCACAGACCCCATAACCACCCCTAGAGCCCCACCCCACAGTCACCTCACACCCTACAGACCCCCAAATACCCCTATAGACCCCTAGACCCTTTACAGATCCCCCACAGACCCCACTCACCCCTACAGACCCCTCATTATCCCTACAGACCCACAGACCCTCTTACAGGCCCCTACTCACCCCTATAGACCCCGCACCCCCACACCCCCTCAGACCCCTATAGCCCCCCAGAGACCCCACTCACCCCTAGAGACAATCCCCAACCCTACAGACACCTCAGCACCCCACAGACCCCAGGCCACAGAGGGTCCCCTCACCCTCCTCCTTCCCCTCAGAGAACACAGGGGATCCCCCCACCCTCCTTTTTCCCCTCAGAGAGCACAGGGGGTCTCCCCCCACTATCTTTTCCCCTCAGAGCACACAGAGGGTCCCCCCACCCTCCTTCTCCCCCTCAGGGAGCACAGGGGGTCCCCCCACACCTTAAAGTCCACAGGGGGTTTCCCCACCCCTTCCTCCCCCTCAGAGCACAGCAGGGATCCCCCAGCCCCGACCCCGACGGTGCCGCACCCGTCCCTGGTGGTCCAGGTAATAGAAATACTCGCGCGTTCGCGGCTCCGGACGCTGCCCCTGCTGGTACCGGGGCGCGGGCCGCGAGCAGAACCAGCGCACCGGGCCCGCCCGCATCGCGACAGAGCCCTCACAGCCCCGCTCCTATCGCGACAGAGCTCCCACAGCCCCGGCCCTGTCGCGATAGGGCACACGGAGCGGGCCGGAAGTGGCGCCACTGGGGGAGCGGAAAAGAGGAGGCACCGCCGGGGGGAGGGGCCGGGGGAGACACCGGGAAATGGGACCGGGGGAAGCAGGAGCGGCTGGGAAAGGGCCGGGGGCAGGAATAGGGACCCTTCTGTATGGGGGCTGGGGGACCTATAGGGGATCTATAGGGGCTGTGAGAGTCTATAGGGGGTCTGTAGGGGGTCTATAGGGGCTGTGGGGGGTCTATAGGGGCTGTGGGTTCCATAGGGGGTCTATAGGGGTCTGTAGGGGTCTGTAGGGGCTGGGGGTCTATAGGGCTGGGGTTCCATAGAGGGTCTGTAGGGGCTGGGGGGTCTATAGGGGTCTGTGGGGGTCTATAGGGCTGGGGGTTCCATAGGGGTCTGTAGGGGCTGTAGGGGTCTATAGGGGTCTGTGAGGGTCTATAGGGGCTGGGGTTCCATAGGGGGTCTGTAGGGGCTGTAGGGGGTCTATAGGGGTCTGTGGGGTCCATAGGGTCTGTGGGGGTCTATAGGGGGCTTGGGGGAGCCTATGGGGTCTGTGGGTTCCATAGGGGGTCTATAGGGGCTGGGGTTCCACAGGGGGTCTATGGGGGGGTCTATAGGGTCTGTGGGGGTCTATAGGGTCTGTGGGGGGTCTATAGGGGCTGTGGGTTCCATAGGGGGTCTATGGGGGTCTATAGGGTCTGTGAGGGGTCTATAGGGTCTGTGGGTTCCATAGGGGGTCTATAGGGGGTCTATAGGGTCTGTGTGGATCTATAGGGTCTGTGGGGGTCTATAGGGTCTGTGGGGGTCTATAGGGTCTGTGGGTTCCATAGGGGGTCTATAGGGGTCTGTGGGGTCTATAGGGTCTGTAGGGTTCCATAGGGGGCTGTAGGGGTCTATAGGTCTGGGGTCTATAGGGCTATGGGGTCTATAGGGGTCTGTGGGGGTCTATAGGGTCTGTGGGTTCCATAGGGGTCTGTAGGGGTCCATAGGGGTCTATAGGGGCTATAGGGTGTCTATAGGGGTCTGTAGGGGTCTATAGGGGTCTGTAGGGGTCCATAGGGTCTATGGGGTCTATAGGGGCCTATAGGGGGTCCATAGGGGTCTGTAGGGGTCTATAGGGGTCTGTGGGGGTCTATAGGGGTCTGTAGGGGTCTATAGGGGCTGTAGGGTTCCATAGGGGGTCTATAGGGGTCTATAGGGTCTGTAGGGGTCTATAGGGGCTGTGGGGTCCATAGGGGTCTATAGGGGCTGTGGGTTCCATAGGGGTCTGTAGGGGTCTGTAGGGGTCTATAGGTCTGTGGGTCCATAGGGGTCTATAGGGGTCTATAGGGTCTGTAGGGTTCCATAGGGGTCTATAGGGGTCTATAGGGTCTGTAGGGATCTAGGTCTGTGGGGTCCATAGGGGTCTATAGGGGTCTATAGGGTCTGTGGGTTCCATAGGGGTCCATAGGGGTCTATAGGGTCTATAGGGTCTGTAGGGGTCTATAGGGTCTATAGGGGTCTATAGGGGTCTGTGGGTTCCATAGGGGTCTATAGGGGTCTGTGGGGTCTATAGGGTCTGTAGGGTTCCATAGGGGTCTATAGGGGTCTATAGGGGTCTGTGGGGTCTATAGGGTCTATAGGGGTCTATAGCTATGGGGTCTATAGGGGTCTGTGGGTTCCATAGGGGTCTATAGGGGTCTATAGGGGTCTATAGGGTCTGTGGGGTCCATAGGGGGTCTGTGGGGTCTATAGGGGTCTATAGGGGTCTATGGGGGTCTATAGGGGTCTGTAGGGGTCTATAGGGTCTATGGGGTCTATAGGGTCTGTGGGTTCCATAGGGGGTCTATAGGGTCTGTGGGGGGTCTATAGGGTCTGTGGGGGTCTATAGGGGCTGTGGGGGTCCATAGGGGGTCTATGGGGGCTGTGGGTTCCATAGGGGGTCTATAGGGTCTGTGGGGGTCTATAGGGGCTGTGGGGGTCTATAGGGGCTGTGGGGGTCTATAGGGGCTGTGGGTTCCACAGGGGGTCTGTAGGGGTCTGTAGGGGTCTATAGGGTCTGTAGGGGTCTATGGGGGTCCATAGGGGGTCTATAGGGTCTGTGGGGGGGTCTATAGGGTCTGTGGGTGTCTATAGGGTCTGTGGGTTCCACAGGGGGCATAGGGGTCTATAGGGTCTGTGGGGGTCTATAGGGGTCTGTGGGTTCCATAGGGGTCTATAGGGGTCTGTGGGTTCCATAGGGGTCTGTAGGGTTCCATAGGGGTCTACAGGGTCTATGGGGGTTCTATAGGGTCTGTGGGGACCTATAGGGTCTGTGGGTTCCATAGGGGGTCTATAGGGGGTCTATGGGGGTTCTATAGGGTCTGTGGGTGGTCTATAGGGTCTGTGGGTTGTACAGGGGGTCTATGGGGGGCTCTACAGGCAGTCTGAGTGTCCTCCTCCCTCCCCATTTTCCCACATTCCGGGGTTTTTTCCCCTCCTTCCCACCGGATCCAAGAGATCCCAGAGCGGCCCCGGCTCCCTCCCCCAACCCCTGCGGATTGGGATCCGTTTTCCCTCCCCTCCTTTTCCTTCATTTTCCTTCCTTTTCCCCCTTTCCCCTCCTTTTCCCTCCCTTTTTCCCTTCTCCCGCCACGTTTGCCTTAATTCCTTTATTTTCCTAAACCGCTGCAATTCCAGGGGGACAATCCCAGAGGGCTCCATCCCCATCCCATCACATCCCACCCCTCCCACCCTTCCCGTTAATTGCCAGCCCGTTAATTAACGGCCCGTTAATCACCACTCCCCCAGCCCGGGTTGGTTCCAGGGGGGGTTCCGGATCCATCCCGGATTCCTGGGCAGGGGAGGGAGGGGGGAATGAAAAGAAAAAACATTGGGATGGGCTGGGAAAAACCCCAACATTTCCCATTTAAATGAGGTTGGGAAAAGGTTGGGATGGAGAGGAAAAGGTGGGAAAGGGAAGGGGGATGAGGGGGAAAAGGCAACGGGATGGGAGGGGGAATTTCGGGATGAGGGGAGGAACACTGGGATGGAGGGGGAAAATCAGCGGGATGAGGGGGAGAGCAGAGGGATAAGGTGGGAAACACCAGGATGAAGTGGGAAAACACTGGGATGAGGTGGGAAAACACCGGGATGGGGGTGGAATAGCACCAAGAGAAGGGGAGAAAATACTGGAATGAGGTGGAAAAGCACCAGAAGGAGGTGGGGAACTAGCAGGATGAGGTGGGAAAACACCGGGATAAGGTGGAAAGACTGGGATGAGGTGAAAAGATGTTGGGATGAGGTGGAAAGACACTGAGATGAGGCGGAAAAACACTGGGATGAGGTGGAAAGACTGGGATGAGGCAGAAAAACATTGGGATGAGGCGGAAAAACACTGGGATGAGGTGGAAAGATGTTGGGATGAGGTGGAAAGACTGGGATGAGGTGGAAAAACATTGGGATGAGGTGGAAAGACACTGGGATGAGGTGGAAAAACACCAGGATGAGGTGGGAAGACATTGGGATGAGGCGGAAAAACACTGGGATGAGGTGGAAAGACTGGGATGAGGTGGAAAACACTGGGATGAGGTGGAAAAACACTGGGATGAGGCGGAAAACCACTGGGATGAGCTGGAAAACACCAGGATGAGGCGGAAAGACATTGGGATGAGGTGGAAAAACATCCCAATGTTTTTCCACCTCATCCCGGTGTTTTTCCACCTCATCCCAATGAGGTGGAAAACACCAGGATGAGCTGGAAAACCACCGGGATGAGCTGGAAAACCACCGGGCTGAGGCAGAACCCCCCCCTCTCAGCAGAAACCCCGCGGGCCGGGCCGGAACCCCCCGGCTGTCCGCGCGGAAATGCCGCGCAATTCCCGCCATTCCCGGCGTACGGAAGGACCTTAGGGAAGCTCCCACCTCCCCCCCATCCCCCCTCCACGAGGAAGAGCTACAAGGAGAAGTAATCCAGCGCCCCGTGGCCGTAGGGGTTGTAGGTCCACACCACGTCGGCCCTGCCGGAGCTCTCCAGGAGCCGCGCCAGCTCGGCGCTGGCCGCCCCCAGCTTCTCGCGGTCCAGCCGCTCCTCCAGGAGCCAGCGCGAGCCCGAGCGGCGCTGCAGCGGCCCCGGCTTGTAGCAGTCGACGGGCAGCGGGTACACCACGAGCCGCAGCTCCGGGAAGGGCACGGTCTGGCGCAGCAGCTCGCGCAGCCCCGCCGTGCTCAGCGCGTTGCCGAAGAGGCCGAGGAAGCGCAGGCGGGAGCAGCGGCGCAGCGAGGCCAGCAGGGAGTGCAGGTGCGAGTCCGTCAGGCGGCACTCCATGAGGTCCAGGTGGAGCAGCGAGGGCGAGGTCTCCTCCAGGAGCTGCCGCAGCGGCTGCAGGAGGCTCTGCGAGAAGTCGTGGCCGCTCAGGTCCAGCCTCTTGAGGGCGGCCGCGTGGACGCTCTGGCACAGGAAGGCGAAGTCGGCGGGCAGGAGGGAGCAGAAGGCCAGTTCCAAGCTTTCCAGAGGGGCCTGGAGCTCGCTGCGGGAGGAGGAAGAGATGGGAGGAAATGTGACCCCAAAGTGTGGGAGCCACAGCGTGCTTCCCGAATTTCCCGGAGGGAACGCGGCCGGGGAGCCCCGAGGGTCAATCTGGGATGGGGGGATCATCAAGGTTGGGGAAGAGTCCAAGAGCATCGAGGTAAAGTTTGGGATTATGGGATTATGGGATTGTGGAGCTTTGGGGTTTGTGGAGTCAGAATGGTGGAGTTCCAGGAATCACTGGGGTGGTGGGAAAATAAAATCCTGGGATCACTGGGGTTGGGGAAGAGTCCAAGAACATCGAGGAAAAGTTTGGGATTATGGGGATTGTGGAGCCCTGGGGGTTGTAGAGTTGGAATGGTGGAGTTCCAGGAATCGCTGGGGTGGTGGGATAATAAAATCCTGGGATCACTGGGGTTGGGGAAGAGTCCAAGAGCATCGAGGGCAAGGTTGGGATTATGGGATTGTGGAGCCTTGGGGGTTGTGGAGTCGGGATCATGGAGTTCCAGGAATCACTGGGGTGGTGGGATAATAAAATCCTGGGATAAGTGAGGTTGGGGAAGAGTCCAAGAGCATCGAGGGAAAGTTTGGGATTATGGGATTGTGGAGCCTTGGGGTTGGAATGGTGGAGTTCCAGGACATGGAATCGCTGGGGTGGTGGGATAATAAAATCCTGGGATTGTGGGATCGCTGAGGGTGGGAAAGAGGGCCAAGAGCACCGAGCCCGGCTTTGCAAAATCAGGGAATGAGGAGGTCACGGAGCCTTGGAATTGCGGGATCACGGAGCCACGGGGGCGTGGAGTTACGGGATCGTGGGATTGTGGGGTCATGGGATTGTGGGGTCATGGGATTGTGGGGTTATGGGATTGTGGGGTTATGGGATCGTGGGATTGTGGGATTGTGGGGTTATGGGATTGTGGAGTTATGGAGTCATGAGATGATGGCATCATGGACTTAGGGAGATGTGGGATCATGGATTCATGGAATGATGGGATTGTGGGATCAGGGATTCATGGGATGATGGGATGAGGGGATTATGGGGTCAAGGATTTATGGAATCATGGGATGAAGAGATTGTGGGATCATGGATTCATGGAATGTGGGATGAAGGGATTGTGGGATCATGGATTCATGGAAGCACAGGATGAGAGGATTATGGGGGCAAGGATTTATGGAATCATGGGATGATGGGATTGTGGGGTCATGGATTCATGGAATCATGGAATAAGAGGATTATGGGATCAAGGATTCACGGAATGATGGGATGATGGGGTCAAGGATTCATGGAACGATGGGAATCTAGGGTCATGGATTCATGGAATGATGGGGTCATGGATTCATGGGATTGTGGGGTCATGGATTCATGGAATGATGGGATTGTGGGGTCATGGATTCATGGAATGATGGGATTGTGGGGTCATGGATTCATGGGATTGTGGGGTCATGGATTCATGGAACAATGGGATGATGGGGTCAGGGATTCATGGGATGATGGGGTAAGGATTCATGGAACAATGGAATGATGGGATTCTGAGGTCACTGAATTACAGGTTCCCGAAATCAGGACACCACAGAACCAGGAAAATCAGGGGAATTACGGAATCCTGGCCCCATGAAAACACCGGGACACCAAAACACGGCACTGACAACACCAACACCACCCAAGGTCATCCAACCCCTCCAACACCACCCAAGGTCATCAAACCCCTCCAAAATCAACACCCAAGCTCATCAAACCCCTCCAACACCACCCAAAACCATCCAACCCCTCCAACACCACCCAAGCTCATCCAACCCCTCCTCCAACACCACCCAAGGTCATCAAACCCCTCCTCCAAAATCACCCAAGGTCATCCAACCCCTCCAACACCACCCAAGCTCATCAAACTCCTCCAAAGCCACCCAAGCTCATCCAACCCCTCCAAAATCAACACCCAAGCTCATCCAACCCCTCCAAAGCCCCCCAAACCCAAACACCACCCAAGCTCATCAAACCCCTCCTCCAAAACCACCCAAGCTCATCCAACCCCTCCAACACCACCCAAGCTCATCAAACCCCTCCAAAATCACCACCCAAGCTCATCCAACCCCTCCACCAACACCACCCAAGCTCATCAAACCCTCCAACACCACCCAAGCTCATCCAACACCTCCAAAGCCACCCAAGCTCATCCAACCCCTCCAAGACTACCCAAGCTCATCAAACCCATCCAAAGCCACCAATCCCCTCCAACACCACTCAAGCTCATCAAACCCCTCCTCCAACACCACCCAAGCTCATCAAACCCCTCCTCCAAAAACACCACCCAAAATCATCAAACCCCTCCAAAATCACCACCCAAGCTCATCCAACCCCTCCAAAGCCACCAAACCTAAACCCCTTTAACCCGAAAACCGCGTGGGAACCCACAGGGCCCATGGACCTACCAGAGCACCTGGCGCAGGTTCCCGGAGAGGCGTGAGGAGCCCAGGTTGAGCTCCTTGAGGCTGGGCAGCTTGCCCAGCTCGCGGGCCAGGCAGCGGATGCCCAGCAGCAGCTCGGGCGTGGCGCGCCGCACGTCCACGTTGCTGTACTGCAGCTTCAGGCTGCGCAGGTCGGGGAACTGCGACAGGTGCAGCAGCACCACCGACAGCCCCGTCAGGCCCAGGTTGCGGAAGCGCAGGTCCACGCGCCGCACCCGGCGGGCTCCAGGGATTTCAGCAGGCTCACGATGCCGTCCACCGACAGCTTCTCGGCCTGGAACTCGCGGCAGCGCAGGCGCAGGGGGCCGGCGTCGCCCGCCTGGAGCGCGTCGCGCAGCACGCCGTAGGACGCGCGGTTGACGAAGAAGTCGGCGTGGACGTCGACGCCGGCGCGGTGAGGGGAGGGGGGAGGAAGGAGGAGGGGGAGGAGGAGCGGCCCTTGTGGCGCTTGGCCCCGCGCCGCTGGAATTCCCGGCATTCCCGCTGCTGCTTGGCCGCCTCCACGCACGCCTTGGCCAGGGCCACGGTGCCCGACCAGACGCTCATCCCGTCCGCGGCGCGGCCGGCGGCGTCCTCGGGCAGCCCCGTCACGTCCAGCACGCGCAGACGGCAGCGGCTGCTCCGGGGAAAAGGGGGAAAAGTGGGAAAAGTGGGAGTGAACAAGAGGGAAAACATCAAACATCCTGGAGGGGAATGGAGCAAGGGGGTGGGGTCCTGATTGCCCTGGAATGGCATGGGATGGGCCAGGAAAAGGGGGGGAATCCAGGGATTAACGAGTAGGAAAATGACTGAGGAGGATGGGTTTGGGGTGTTGTATCCCAGAGTTCAAAACACACCTGGAATGGCATGGGATGGGCCAGGAAAAGGAGGGGAATCCAGGGATCAATGAGTAGGAAAATACCCAAGGAGGATGGATTTGGGTTGTTGTATTCCAGAGTTCCCAAACCCTGTGCCAGGAAAAGGGGGGGAAATCCAGGGATCAACAAGCAGGAAAACACCCAAGGAGGAAGGATTTGGGTTGTTGTATCCCAGAATTTCCAGCACACCTGGAATGGCACGGGATGTGCCAGGAAAAGGAGGGAATCCAGGGATAAACAAGCAGGAAAACACCCAAGGAGAAAGGAATTGGGTTGTTGTATCCCAGAGTTCCCAAATCCACTTGGCTGTGCCAGGAAAAGTGGGGGAAATCCAGGGATAAACGAGCAGGAAAACACCCAAGGAGGATGGATTTGGGTTGTTGTATCCCAGAATTCCCGGCACACCTGGCTGTGCCAGGAAAACCCAGGGCTCAACAAGCAGGAAACCACCCCGAGGATGACGGATTTGGGCTTTGTTGTATCCCAGAGTTCCCAACACACCTGGAATTGCATGGGATGGGCCAGGAAAAGGGGGGGAATCCAGGGAGAAATGATCAGGAAAACATCCGAGGAGGATGGAATTGGGTTGCTGTATCCCAGAATTCCCAACCCCAGCTGGCTTTGCCAGGAAAACCCAGGGATCAACAAGCAGGAAAACACCCCGAGGATGGATTTGGGCTTTGCTGTATCCCAGAATTCCCAGCACACCTGGAATTGCACTGGTTGTGCCAGGAAAAGGGGGGAAACCCAGGGATAAACAAGCAGGAAAACACCCCGAGGATGATGGATTTGGGTTGTTGTATCCCAGAATTCCCAGCACACCTGGCTGTGCCAGGAAAGCAGAGAAACCCAGGGATCAACAAGCAGGAAAACACTCAAGGAGGATGGAATTGGGTTGTTGTATCCCGGAATTCCCAACCCCAGCTGGCTGTGCCAGGGAAATCCAGGGATCAACAAGCAGGAAAACACCCCGAGGATGGATTTGGGTTGTTGTATCCCAGAATTCCCAGCACACCTGGAATCACGCTGGTTGTGCCAGGAAAAGGGGGAAACCCAGGGATCAACAAGCAGGAAAATGCCTGAGGAGGATGGAATTGGGTTGTTGTATCCCAGAGTTCCCAACCCCACCTGGCTGTGTCAGGAAAAGCAGAGAAACCCAGGGATAAAGAAGCAGGAAAACACCCCGAGGATGACGGATTTGGGGTTTGTTGTATCCCAGAATTCCCAACCCCACCTGGCTGTGCCAGGGAAATCCAGGGATCAACAAGCAGGAAAACACCCCGAGGATGACGGATTTGGGGTTTGCTGTATCCCAGAATTCCCAGCACACCTGGCTGTGCCAGGAAAAGCGAAATCCAGGCATCAACAAGCAGGAAAACAACCGAGTGGGATGGATTTGGGTTGTTGTATCCCAGAATTCCCAACCCCAGCTGAATGTGCCAGGAAAACCCCAGGGATCAACAAGCAGGAAAACATCCTGAGGATGACGGATTTGAGGTTTGCTGTATCCCAGAATTCCCAACCCCACCTGGCTGTGCCAGGGAAAGCAGAGAAACCCAGGGATAAAGAAGCAGGAAAACACTCCGAGGAGGAAAGATTTGGGTTGTTGTATCCCAGAATTCCCAACCCCAGCTGTCTGTGCCAGGGAAATCCAGGGATCAACAAGCAGGAAAACACCCTGAGGACAACAGATTCGGGGTTTGCTGCATCCCAGAATCCCCACACCTGGAATCCCGTCCTGGCTCCTCCATGTCCCGGCGCAGCTGCTCCAGGACGGCTCCGATGACGGCCTGGACGCAGAGCTTGGACGAGTGGTCCCGGAGCAGCTCCCGGCTCCCCACGAGCCGCTGCAGGTGCAGGGCCGGGAAGGGCCAGCGGGCCACCAAATCCCGCAGGATTTGGGCCCTGCCATCCAGGAAGGCCGCTTGGAAAAGCACGGGGTACAGGTGGGGGGGCACGGAGGGCAGGGGGGCCACGGACGCCACGCGGCGGGCGCAGAGGAACAGCAGGGAATCCATGGGCACGGCGGGGGGGCTGCGGGATTTGGGGAGGGGGACATAGATGAGATCTGGGGGACATCTCCCATCAGGGGGAAAAAATCCCAGGGAGCCCCAAATCCAAGGAGATCCCGAAAAAATGGGAGGAGGGAGAAGTAAAGGGTGGGACCCCCAAAGTGGTACCCAAAAAAGGGGGTCTTGTCCCCAACAAAACGCCCCAGGGACCCCAAAATCGGCCTTCCCTCAACTCAAGGACCAGCTCCCATAAACCCCCAACTGGAGGGGCAAGTGCAGCCCCCAAGCCCCGCTTTTGGGACTCCCCAAATCGGCTGTTCGAACAGCCCAGAACCCACCCAAGACCCCCAGACCCACCTGAGACCCCCAAACCCACCTGGAGACCCCCAGACCCACCTGGAGACCCCCAAACCCACCTGAGAACCCCCCAACCCCCCGAGACCCCCAGACCCACCTGAGACCCCCAAACCCTGCCCAGCCCCTCAAGGAGTACCCCAGCCCCTCCAAACCCCCCAGAACCCACCTGAGCCTCCCCAGAACCCACTCTGAGACCCCCAGACCCTGCCCTGCACCCCAAGGAGCACCCAAAGCCCACCCAAACCCCTCCCAGCCTCCAACCCACCTCCCGAGAACCCCCCAGACCCCAACCCACCTGAGACCCCCAAACCCACCTGGCCCCCAAACCCGAGACCCCTAGACCCTGCCCTGCACCCCAAGGAGCGCCCAAAGCCCACCCAAACCCCCTGGCCCATCCCCTCCCAAGCCCTCAAGGACCCACCCCAGAGACCGCCCCCAAGCCCTCCCCAGAGACCCCCTGAGCCCAGCCCTCAACCGCCCTCAAGGACCACCCTCAGAGCCCCCAACCTCCCCAGAGACCCCTGAGCCCCCTCAACCTCCCCAGAGACCCCCTCAGCCCCCTCAACCTCCTCCAGACCTCCCCTGAGCCCCCCCTGAGCCCCCTCAACCTCCCCAGAGACCCCAGAGCCCCCCAGCCTCTCCAGCCCCCCAACATGGCGCCCCCTCCCCCTCAGCGCCGCTCCCCTCAGGGACCCTCCCAACCCACAGAGACCCCCAAAACCTTCCCCTCCCCCAAGGGCCGCCCCGGCCCTTGGGACCCCTCAGGACCCCCAAAACCCCCAGACCTCCCCGACGGGGCCGCCGCCCCCAAGATGGCGCCCCCACTCAGCGCCCCCACCCCGGGCCCACCCCCTCACCCTCCCGGCCCCTCCCGAGCCACCCCTGCTCCCCAAACCCTCCCCGCCACCCCAAGGGCCGCCCCCAACCCTTCCCACCCCCTCAAGACCCCCAAAGCCCCCAAACACCCCCAGAAGGGTCGCCTCCCCCTTCCCAACATGGCGCCCCCACTCACCGCGCGCGGCCCCGCTCGCCCCCAGCCCGTACGGCGGCGCCACTTCGGCCTGCGCGCGGGACCCCGCCAATCACAGCGCGGGGATCGCGCACGGGGGCGTGGCCAGAGGGCGGGGAATCGGATAGACACGCCCCCTGCTCCCATGGCCACGCCCCCTCCTCTATAGACACGCCCTCATCCTGTAGACACGCCCCCTTCTCCCATAGCCACGCCCCCATAGCAGCGCCCCCTCCTCCCATAGCCACGCCCACCTCATCCATAGCCACGCCCACTTCATACGTAGCCACGCCCCTCCCCTAGCCACGCCCCCTCACCCCTTCAGAACCCCCCCACCCTACAGACACCCCCCATAAACACCCCTAAACACCCCTATAGAGCCCCCCACCCTACAGACCCCCTATAGAGCCCTAAACGCCTTTAGACCCCCACCCTACAGACACCCCTACAGACCCCCCACCCTACAGACACCCCTCACCCTACAGACACCCTATAGACCCCCACCCTACAGACACCCCTCACCCTACAGACACCCCTATAGAGCCCTAAACGCCTTTAGACCCCCACCCTACAGACACCCCCATAGACCCCCTCACCCCTATAGACCCCCACCCTACAGACACCCCTACAGACCCCCCTCACCCCTACAGACCCCCCACCCTACAGACACCCCTACAGACCCCCCCTACACACCCTACAGACCCCCCACCCTACAGACACCCCTACAGACTCCCTCACCCCTATAGACCCCCCACCCTACAGACACCCCTATAGACCCCCTCACCCTACAGACCCCCCACCCTACAGACACCCCTATAGAGCCCCCCACCCTACAGACACCCCTATAGACCCCCCTCACCCCATAGACCCCCCTCACCCTACAGACACCCCTATAGACCCCCTCACCCCATAGACCCCCCCACCCTACAGACACCCCTATAGACCCCCCACCCCCATAGGCCTCCCCTCATCCCTACAGACCCCCCCACCCTACAGACACCCCCATAGACCCCCCTCACCCTACAGACACCCCTATAGACCCCCCATAGACCCCCCTCACCCCATAGACCCCCCACCCTACAGATTGCCCCCTAAACGCCCCCGGCCCCTATAAACCCCTCCCCCCTCCCCAGCCCCTCCCCCGCTCCTGCCGGGTGTCCTGATGGGTTGGGGTCTCCCTGCATTTTTGGGGACCCCAAACCCCCTAAACCCCCAAACCCCCTAAATCCCCCAAAATCCCAAAAAACCCCACGGGCCCCTCGTGTTTCCCATACGGACCTTTTTATTCACACGCGTGGGGAGGGAGGGGCAGCCTCGCCCCCTCTCCCCAAAAAAATACAGAGTTTTGGGGGAGGGGAAAGGGGACCCTAAAAATCCCAACCCCACGATGGATTGGGGGGTCTGGGGAAATTCCCAAAGGAATCCGGGAATTTTTGGGGTTTTTTTGCGTGGGAGTTTTTAAGGGATGGGGTCCCTTTAATTTGGATTTTCCTCCTCCCCCTCCCTTTTTTAATATTAATAATAATAATAATAATAATTATAATAATAATAATAAATAAAAACCTCGAGGTTTAAAAAGAAACTCAGGGGGAAATGAATTAAAAAGGAATGAATTAAAATCCTTAATTAGAAAGGAATTAATTGGTTAAAAACACGAGTGGGGAAGAGGAGGGAAAAGAGAGGGGAGGAGGAGGAGGAGCCCCCGACCCCCACCCCTGGCAGTGAGCAGAGCTGGGAGGGAGCGACCCCACCCCCCCTCCACAAATTTTGGGACCCCCAACCCATTTTGGGACCCCTCAACCTTGGGGACCCCCAAAATTGGGGATCCACCAGTCGTGGGACTCTTCTGCACTGAGGGCCCCCCAAAATTTGGGGACCCCCACCCCACTTTGGGACCCCCTTGTCCCACTTTGGGACCCCCAAAGTGGGGACCCCTCCCAAACTTGGGGACCCCTCCCAAACTTGGGGATACCCCCAAATTTGGGGACCCCCCCCAAAATTGGGGACCCCCCCATCACCCGTGGGACTCTTCTGCACTGAGGGTCGCCCCCCTAAAATTTGGGGACCCCCCACCCCACTTCGGGACCCCCCTTGTCCCACTTTGGGGACCCCCAAAGTAGGGATCCCCCCCAAACTTAGGGACCCCCCTTCACCCATGGGACTTCCCTTGGAGAAATTGGGGTGGGGGGTGTTCATTAAATTGGGGGGGGTGTTTTTAATTAATAATTCTCTTTATAGGTCAATAAACTCTGCCGGGGACCCCCCACCCTGTGGGTGCCCCCCCCAAATCATTGGGTGCCCCCCCAAATCATTGGGTGCCCCCCAAAACCAGGTGGGTGCTCTCCCCAACTTGTGGGTGCTCCCACCCCAAAAATGGGTGTCCCCCTAAACCTGTGGGTGTCCCCCAAAACAAGGGGTGCCCCCCAAAAGCTGTGGGTGCCCCCTAAACCTGTGGGTGCCCCCAAAATGGGTGCCCCCAAAAGCCGTGGGTGCCCCCCCAAAAGCCGTGGGTGCCCCCCCTTGGGTGGACCCAAAGGCACTTGGGGGGGAGCTCAGGGGGGACCTTTCGGGCTCCGGGGTGGGGAGGGGGCACCAAGGTGGGCCCTGGGGGGGCACCAAGGGGGGCACAGGTGGAGCTGGGGGGGTCCCAGCAGAGCAGGTGTCTGTGGGTGCCCAGGTGGGTGCCCAGGTGGGCACAGGAGGAGCAGGAGATGGGAGATGCCCAGGTGGGTGCCCAGGTGGGTGCCCAGGTGGGTCCTGCAGGAGGAGCAGGAGATGGGGGATGCCCAGGTGGGTGCCCAGGTGGGTCCTGGAGGAGCAGCAGGAGATGGGGGATGCCCAGGTGGGCTGGGCAGGACCTGGAGGAGCTCGGAGGGGGCACCCAAGAGGGTCCTGGAGGGGTTGGTGGGCACCAGGATGGGTTGGGCAGGACCAGGAGAGGTAGGGGGAGGTGATGGGTGCCAAGGTGGGTTCAGGAGGTGATGGGTGCCAAGGTGGGCCCAGCAGGAGGTGATGGGTGCCAAGGTGGGTTCAGCAGGTGATGGGTGCCAAGGTGGGTTCAGCAGGAGGTGATGGGTGCCAAGGTGGGTTCAGGAGGTGATGGGTGCCAAGGTGGGTTCAGGAGGTGATGGTGGACACCAAGATGGGGCCAGGAGGAGGTGATGGGTGCCAAGGTGGGCTCAGGAGGAGATGATGGGTCCAGAAGGATGGGTCTCAGGAGGTGATGGTGGACACCAAGATGGGGCCAGGAGGAGGTGATGGGTGCCAAGGTGGGCTCAGGAGGAGATGATGGGTCCAGAAGGATCAGGAGTTGATGGTGGACACCAAGGTGGGTCCAGGAGGAGATGATGGGTATTAAGATGGGTCCAGCAGGAGATGATGTGTCCAGGAGGATCAGGAGTTGATGATGGACACCAAGATGGGGCCAGGAGGAGATGATGGGTCCAGGAGGATCAGGACTTGATGATGGGTGCCAAGGTGGGGCCAGCAGGAGGTGATGGGTGCCAAGGTGGGTTCAGGAGGTGATGGTGGACACCAAGATGGGGCCAGGAGGAGGTGATGGCTCCAGGAGGATCAGGACTTGATGATGGGTGCCAAGATGGGTCCAGGAGGAGATGATGGGTCCAGGAGGATCAGGAGTTGATGATGGACACCAGGATGGCTCCAGGAGGAGATGATGGGTATAAGATGGGTCCAGGAGGAGATGATGGCTCCAGGATGATCAGGAGATGATGATGGGCACCACGATGGGCTCAGGAGATCCAGGAGGAGATTCTGAACTCCAGGATGGGTCCAGGAGTACTGGGAGGAGATGATGGGTGCAAAGATGGGACCAGCAGGAGATGATGAGCAGCAGGATCCAGGATGGCTCCAGGAGGATCAGGACTTGATGATGGGTGCCAAGGTGGGGCCAGCAGGAGTTGATGGGTCCAGCAGGATCAGGAGTTGATGATGGACACCAGGATGGCTCCAGGAGGAGGTGATGGCTCCAGGAGGATCAGGAGTTGATGGTGGACACCAAGATGGGTCCAGGAGGAGATGATGGGTCCAGGAGGATCAGGAGTTGATGGTAGGCACCACGATGGGCTCAGGAGATCCAGGAGGAGATTCTGAACTCCAGGATGGGTCCAGGAGTACTGGGAGGAGATGATGGGTGCAAAGATGGGACCAGGAGGAGATGATGGCAGCAGGATCCAGGATGGGTCCAGGAGGATCAGGAGTTGATGGTGGACACCAAGATGGGCTCAGGAGATCCAGGAGGAGATTCTGAACTAAAGGATGGGTCCAGGAGTACTGGGAGGAGATGATGGGTGCCAAGATGGGACCAGCAGGAGATGATGGCAGCAGGATGGGTCCAGGACCCAGGATGGGTCCAGGAGGACCAGGAGGAGATGACTGGTGCCAGGATGGTCCAGGAGGGGGTGACTGGTGCCAGGAGGACCAGGAGGACCAGGAGGAGATGACTGGTGCCAGGATGGTCCAGGAGGAGGTGAGTGGTGCCAGGATGGTCCAGGAGGAGGTGACTGGTGCCAGGATGGTCCAGGAGGGGGTGACTGGTGCCAGGATGGTCCAGGAGGGGGTGACTGGTGCCAGGATGGTCCAGGAGGGGGTGACTGGTGCCAGGATGGACCAGGAGGACCAGGAGGGGGTGACTGGTGCCAGGATGGTCCAGGAGGAGATGACTGGTGCCAGGATGGTCCAGGAGGAGATGACTGGTGCCAGGATGGTCCAGGAGGGGGTGACTGGTGCCAGGATGGCCCAGGAGGGGGTGACTGGTGCCAGGATGGTCCAGGAGAGGGTGACTGGTGCCAGGATGGACCAGGAGGAGATGACTGGTGCCAGGATGGTCCAGGAGGACCAGGAGGGGGTGACTGGTGCCAGGATGGTCCAGGAGATGACTGGTGCCAGGATGGTCCAGGAGGGGGTGACTGGTGCCAGGATGGTCCAGGAGATGACTGGTGCCAGGATGGTCCAGGAGGACCAGGAGGGGGGATGATGCCCACCAAGGTGTGCCCTGCAGGACCAGGAGGGGATGAGGAACCCCCAGACGGGCGTCTCAAGGCCGGGTGGGTCCCGGGCCAGGCCCAGCAGGTCCCGTGGGTGGTGGGACAGCTGCTGGTGGTGCCAACCGCCCCCCTGGAGATGGGGTGGGCACCGTGACACGTGTGGCCAACCCCCCACCCCATCCAGCTCCTCCAGCACCCCAGGATGGACAACTGGACGGGTGGAGCCACCCAGGGCACGGCAAGGACCCCCCAAGGCCAGGTTGGGGCTCTCCTGGCATGGTGGTCACTGCGGTGTCCCCGCTGTGCCACCTTCTCCAGGAGATCTTGGAGGCCCAGCAGGTCCAGGTGGTCCCTCCCCTCATCTCCCACCTCCCACCAATCCCCCAAGGTGTTCACGCCCTGCTTGACCCTCCTGCTTCCTCCTCCTGAGGTGGTTTCGGGGTCTTCCAGGTTCACCTGGGGGTTTCTTGACCTACCCCTTCCCACCACCCCCTCCTCATTGTCATCACCACCCCCTCATTGTCATCACCCTCATTGTCATCACCACCTCATTGTCACTCCCACATTGTCACCCCCTCATTGTCATCACCCCCTCATTGTCACCCCCTCATTGTCATCACTCTCTCATTGTCACCCCCACATTGTCACCATCCTCTCCCCCCTCCAGGCTGAGTTTCGGGGTGGTTTTTCCCCCCTCTTTCCCCCTCAACCTCCCCAATCAACGCTCCGAGTCGGGGCGGTGACGCGGCCGGACCGAGATCGATGGGGTGGGCTGGGTGGGGTTGGGGAGACCCCTCCACCCTTCCCCCCCTCCCCGAGGGTCCTGAGGGTGGGCGTGGGGCGGGTGTGGGGGGTGGGCAGCGCTATAGGACGCCCTCCATGAAGCTGGTGTCGAGGTGCTGGATGAGCAGGCGCAGGAAGGACATCTCCTTGCGCGTGTTCTCGAAGATGACGCGCGGGTCGTCCGAGCGGCAGCGCAGGCAGTTGGGGGCCATCACCATGGCCAGGTTGTTCACGTCCATCTTGGTGACCGCCACGTTGGCCGGCTGCACGAACACCTGAAATGGGGGGAGGGGAGGGGAGGGTCAGAGAAGGGGAGGAGCGACCCCAAGGGTCAAGGAGGGCGGGGTTGGCATGGGGTGAATTTGGAGGACCCCAAGAGGAGGAATCCCAAGGGTGAACCAGGGACAGGGTTGGCATGGGGTGAATTTGGAGGAGCCAGAACCACCCCAAGGGTGAACCAGGGGCAGGGTTGGCATGGGATGAGTTTGGAGGAGCCAGAACCACCCCAAGGGTGAACCAGGGGCAGGGTTGGCATGGGATGAGTTTGGAGGAGCCAGAACCACCCCAAGGGTGAACCAGGGGCAGGGTTGGCATGGGATGAGTTTGGAGGAGCCAGAACCACCCCAAGAGGAGGAACCCCAAGGGTGAACCAGGGGCAGGGTTGGCACGAAGTGAATTTGGAGGACCCCAAGAGGAGGAACCAGGAGGGTCAAACAGGGGCAGGGTTGGCACGGGGTGAATTTGGAGGAGCCAGAACCACCCCAAGAGGAGGAACCCCAAGGGTCAAGCAGGGTCAGCATGGGGTGAATTTGGAGGACCCAGAACCATCCCAAGAGGAGGAACCAGGAGGTTCAACCAGGGCCATAAATGTGGGGTGAGAGGGAAGAAGGTGGAGCCAAAACCACCTCAGGAAGAGGAACCCCAAGGGTCAAGCAGGGGAAGGGTGGCACGGGGTGAATTTGGAGGAGCCCAAGAGGAGGAACCAGGAGGGTCAAGCAGGGGCAGGGTTGGCATGGGATGAGTTTGGAGGACTCAGAACCACCCCAGGAAGAGGAACCAGGGGCAGGGTTGGCATGGGATGAGTTTGGAGGACCCCAAAACCACCTCAAGAGGAGGAACCAGGAGGGTCAAGCAGGGGAAGGGTCAGCATGGGATGGGTTTGGAGGAGCCAGAACCACCTCAGGAAGAGGAACCAGGGGAAGGGTTGGCACGAGGTGAATTTGGAGGAGCCAGAACCACCTCAAGGGGAGGAACCCCAAGGGTCAAGCAGGGGAAGGGTGGCACGAGGTGAATTTGGAGGACCCCAAGAGGAGGAACCCCAAGGGTGAACCAGGGGCAGGATTGGCATGGGATGAGTTTGGAGGAGCCAGAACCACCCCAAGAGGAGGAACCCCAAGGGTCAAGCTGGGGTGGGTGGGAGATGGGTGGGAGGATTTCATGGAGCTCCTGGTTCTTGGGGGTCACCACAGGGTGAATTTGGAGGACCCAGAACCACCTCAGGAAGAGGAACCAGGGGCAGGGTTGGCATGGGGTGAATTTGGAGAACCCAGAACCACCCCAAGAGGAGGAACCAGGGCCATAAAAAGAAGGTGGACCCAAAACCACCTGAGGAGAAGCCACCAGGAGGTTCAACCAGGACCATAAATGTGGTGTGGGAAGAAGAAGGTGGACCCAGAACCACCTCAGGAAGAGGAACCAGGGGCAGGGTTGGCACGAGGGGAATTTGGAGGAGCCAGAACCACCCCAAGAGGAGGAACCAGGGCCATAAAAAGAAGGAGGACCCAAAACCACCCGAGGAGAAGCCCCCAAGCCAGGATCTCCCGCCCCAGGAGGGTGAGGGGGTCCAAGGAAGGCCATGAGCACCTGGAGGAAGCGGATGAGGTAGCACAGCACCATCTTGTTGATCCTGGGCAGCGAGTGGACGACGGCGACGGCCGCCTCGGGGTTCTCGTAGTGGCTGATGCAGCGCTCGTAGAAGTCGTGGGGGATCAGCGGCTCCTCCAGCTCCCGGTACCACAGCTTGAGCAGGGAGGCTGCAGACACAAAGGGGGGGTGTGGGGACCTCCTGGAGCTCCTGGATATCGCCCAACCCCCCCCGAGATGAGTTCTGAGGTGGGGGGGTGGTGGGGTCGTGGGTGGAGCTGCTGGTTGAGGTTTATCAATATCCTCACATCATACTCCCAATCAACCGTCCAATCATCCACCACCATCCATCACCATCTCCCCACCATCCCCCCAAATCAACCACCCAATCATTCACCCAATCATCCCCCCAACCATCCCCACCATCCCCCATCATCCTCCCAATCAACCACCCAATCATCCACCCAATCAACCATCCAACCATCCTCCCAACCATCCATCACCATCTCCCCACCATCCCCCCAAATCAACCACCCAATCATTCACCCAATCATCCCCCACCATCCCCCCAATCATCCACCCAATCAACCATCCAATCATCCACCCAATCAACCATCCAACCATCCTCCCAACCATCCTCCCAATCAACCACCCAACCATCCATCACCATCCCCCCAACCATCCTCCCAATCAACCACTCAACCATCCACCACCATCCATCACCATCCCCCCAACCATCCATCACCATCCCCCCAACCATCCATCACCATCTCCCCACCATCCTCCCAACCATCCTCCCAATCAACCACCCAATCATCCACCACCATCCATCACCATCCCCCCAATCAACCATCCAATCATCCCCCCAATCAACCATCCAATCGTCCACCCAACCATCCACCACCATCCATCACCGTCCCCCCAACCATCCTCCCAATCATCCCCCCAGTCATCCCCCCATCAACCACCCAACCATCCACCCAATCATCCACCCAACCATTCCCCCAATCATCCACCCAGTCATCCCCCCATCAACCACCCAATCATCCACCCAATCAACCATCCAATCATCCACCCAATCATCCACCCAATCATCCCCCCAGTCATCCCCCCATCAACCACCCAATCATCCCCCCATCAACCACCCAACCATCCACCCAATCATCCACCCAACCATTCCCCCAATCATCCACCCAATCATCCTCCCAATCAACCACCCAATCATCCTCCCAATCATCCACCCAATCATCCCCCACCATCCCCCCAATCATCCCACCAATCAATCACCCAATTATCCTCCCAATCAACCATCCAATCATCCCCCAATCATCCCCCCAATCAACCACCCAACCATCCACCACCATCCACCACCATCCATCACTATCCATCACCAGGAGAAGGTGTTGGACACAGGAGCAGGTGGATCCACAGGGAATTTGGGAAGGAGCAGGTGGATCCACAGGGAGGTGGGGATGGAGAAGGGGTGGGACAGGGTTCTCCTGGGGGGTGGATCCACAGGGAGGTGGGGATGGAGAAGGGGTGGGACATGGGACACAGGAGCAGGTGGATCCACAGGGAATTTGGGAAGGAGAAGGGGTGGGATGTGGCACACAGGAGCAGGTGGATCCACAGGGAATTTGGGAAGGAGAAGGGGTGGGATGTGGGACACAGGAGCAGGTGGATCCACAGGGAATTTGGGAAGGAGAAGGGGTGGGATGTGGGACACAGGAGCAGGTGGATCCACAGGGAGGTGGGGATGGAGAAGGGGTGGGATGTGGCACACAGGAGCAGGTGGATCCAGAGGGAGCTAGGGATGGAGAAGGGGTGGGATGTGGGACACAGGAGCAGGTGGATCCACAGGGAGGTGGAGATGGAGAAGGGGTGGGATGTGGCACACAGGAGCAGGTGGATCCACAGGGAATTTGGGAAGGAGAAGGGGTGGGACGTGGGACATAGGAGCAGGTGGATCCACAGGGAATTTGGGAAGGAGAAGGGGTGGGACAGCAGGTGGATCCACAGGGAATTTGGGATGGAGAAGGGGTGGGATGTGGGACACAGGAGCAGGTGGATCCACAGGGAGCTGGGGATGGAGAAGGACACCTGGGTGGTGGTTCCTGATCCCCCACCATCCCCCCCAGGTCCCTACCAGGAACGTGGGGGTCCTCCAAGCCCGTGGGGATCTTCCACTGGTCCACCTGCAGCTTGAGCGCGTTGACCTCGTCGATGTCCCCGGGGACCCTGCGGGGGCACAGGGAGGGACCCGCCCGCTCAGCACCCATGGGTGCTCACGGGGAGCCCCCTGGGGAGGGGGTGCAGCCCCTCTGGGAGCTGGGTGAGGCCACCGAGACCTCGGCACGAGGCCGGGGGAGGAGCCACGGTGGCCTCGGAGAGAGGAGGGGGTCTGGGTTCCACCAAACGTGGCTCCCACCAGGAGAAGATCTGGGTTGCCACCACCCTGGGGTCACCCAAGGAGAAGGACACAGTGAAGGACCAGGAGGACACCCCAAAACGAGATGATTCATGGCTCCCACCAGGGGAAGATGTGGGTTGCCACCACCCTGGGGTGACCCCCTGGAGAAGGACACCAGGAAGGACCAGGAGGACACCCCAAAACGAGACGATTCGTGCCTCCCACCACCCGAATCTCCAGGTGGCCACCCTGGGGTGACCCCTTGGAGAAGGATGAGGAGGACACCCCAAAACGAGGTGATTCATGGCTCCCACCACCAGAAGCTCTGGGTTGCCACCACCCTGGGGTGACCCCGTGGAGAAGGATGAGGAGAACACTCCAAAACGAGTCAATTCACGCCTCCCACCCCCGAATCTCCAGGTCACCACCACCCCCTGAGGCTCCCCTGGGCCGTGGGGTGTCCTTACCTGAAGATGCCCTCGGTCTGGTCGCCGTTGAGCGCCAGGACCTCCTCGGACAGGCGCGTCTGCACCCAGGGCAGCTGGCGCTCGGGGTAGCGCTCCCTCTGCAGCTGCAGGATGTCCTGCAGGGAGCTGCCGAACATGGACGGGTTGAACACGGCGTTCTTGGCGTGCCGGATCTCCTCCATGTTCGGCTTCTTCAGGCCCTGCCGGGGACACCGCGGGGTCACCACGGGGGGGGAGGTTCCTCCTCCGTTTCATTCCATTCCACCCCTCCCTCCCAGCCAGGGCTCCACCACACGGGGGGAGATGGTGGAGGTGGTCGAGGTGTCCTGATGGGTCTCATCATCACCCCCCCTCCACCACCATCCCCATCTGGAAGGAGATCCAGCAGATCCCAAGGGATCCTGGTGGCACCTCCACGCTGGAGGTGTGTGGGACAACTGGTGGGTTGTCCAGGAGGAGGAGCTTTGAGATTCTTCTGGGAAGCTCAAGATGGTCCCACCACCCCACCATCCTGATCTGGAAGCAGATCCAGCCCTGGGGGTGATCCCAAGGGATCCTGGTGGCAACTCCACACTGGTGGGTTGTCCAGGAGGAGGAGGAGCAGCCACAGCCTTGGGATTCTTCTGGGAAGCTCAAGATGGTCCCACCAACCATCCTGATCTGGAAGCAGATCCAGCAGATCCCAATGGATCCTGGTGGCACCTCCACACCGGTGGGTTGTCCAGGAGGAGGAGGAGCCACAGCCTTGGGAGTCTTCTGGAAAAGAGCTCTTGGAAAGCTCAACACTGGGGGGTCCCACCATCCCCCACCATCCTGATCTGGAAGCAGATCCAGCCCTGGAGATGATCCCAAGGGATCCTGGTGGCACCTCCACACCAGAGGGTTGTCCAGGAGGAGGAGGAGCCACAGCTTTGAGATTCTTCTGGGAAGCTCAAGATGGTCCCATCACCACCCACCATCCCCACCTGGAAGCAGATCCAGCAGATCCCAAGGGATCCTGGTAGCACCTCCACACCAGAGGGTTGTCCAGGAGGAGGAGGAGTTACAGCTTTGGGGTTCTTCTGGGAAGCTCAAGATGGTCCCACCATCCCCCACCATCCTGATCTGGAAGCAGATCCAGCCCTGGAGATGATCCCAAGGGATCCTGGTGGCACCTCCACACTGGAGAAGCTACACCAGTGGGTTGTCCAGGAGGAGGAGGAGCCACAGCCTTGGGGTTCTTCTGGAAAGCTCCTCACCAGACCCGGTACCGTGGAAGGGAAGATGGACACGGTGGATGTGGGGTAGGATGGGATGGGAGAGGTCCCCCAAAAGGACTCCCAGAAAATCCTCAGAAGATCTTCAGAAAGCTCCCAGAAGGTCTCCAGAAGTTCCTGAGAAAGTTCCCAGAAGGTCCCTACAAGGTCTTCAGAAGGTCCCCAGAAAGTTTCCAGAAGGTTCCCAGAAGGTCATTAGGAAGTTTCCAGAAGGTCTCCAGAAGGTCTGCAGAAGTTCATTACAAGGTTTCCAGAAGATTCCCAGAAGGTCATTAGGAAGTTCCCAGAAGGTTCCCAGAAGGTCATTAGGAAGTTTCCAGAAGGTTCCCAGGAACTCTCCAGAAGGTCCTGAGAAAGTTTCCAGAAGGTTCCCAGAAGGTCATTAGGAAGTTTCCAGAAGGTCGAGGTCAGAAGTTCCGAAGGTCTCCAGAAGGTCCTGAGAAAGTTTCCAGAAGGTCTGCAGAAGGTCTCCCGAAGGTCTGCAGAAGTTTTTCCAGAAGGTTCCCAGGAACTCTCCAGAAGGTCATCACAAGGTTTCCAGAAGGCTTCCAGAAGATGCCCAGATGGTCTTTACAAGGTGCCCAGAAGTTCTCCAGAAGTTCTCCAGAAGATCCCCAACCCCTCTGGATGATCCTGACCGTGACTCCTTCCCAAACTCCCCCACCCTTCCCACCTTGCAGCCCCCTCCCCCACCCCAAGCAGGGGTGACCACTCCCCTCTCCAACCCCCTCCAGGCCCCCCCACCGCTCGGTACCTTCTTGGCCCCGGTCAAAGCAGCCTTCTGGAGTTTGTTGTAGCAGTACTTGGCGTAAGTGCTGATGGCCACCCCTGCAAGAGAAGATGGCCGTGGGTGGGATGTCCCCTCCAGGCCCTGGAGGGGCTCCTGAACCCCCCTCCCCCGCCTTGGATGTCCATCCCCACCCCCATCACCATCTCCAGTGGGGTTGAGGAGCACAAGGGACCTGGTGGAACCTCCTGGACCATCTCCAAGTCCTGAGGACCTGGTGGAACCTCCTGGACCATTCCCACAGCCCTGGGGACCTGGTGGAACCTTCTGGACCATCCCACAGCCCTGGGGACCTGGTGGAACCTTCTGGACCA